AGTCCTGTCCGACCTGCTTACTGAAAGACTGTTGTAAAAGTGAACATGCATGTCTCGATCTAGATCACTCCGCCGTTCTCTTGTTCAGTAACACTCCCGAACGAGACAGGATGTTAAAGGTGCCATCTGTAAAAATTGAGGTTAAAATATCCCAAAAATGAGCTACACGCATCAAAAGATTGAGAAGAAATAAGGTTGATGATGTCATTAAAAAACTGACAAGTAATAGCGCTGCCGAGATATTAACCTGAATTAGCATGCTAAATTACTAGCCCCGGCCCGGCAGGTGTCGTAATACCAGTTTCGACCATGGGAGGCGGTATGCGGGCGGGCAACGTTACCACCAGCCAAACTGCAGTACACGAGTGAGTCGCACTCGCGCCAGCTTGTGTGTGTACTTGAACCTGACGTCAGTCGTGTGGAAAATACAGCCCACTACTACATTTCAGTTCAGGGAAGAGTTAAAAAAAAATGATTGGTCGATATTATGCATGAGGAATACATTTTGGTAAGTTGTAGCATACTGTATCTTTCAACAGTGTTCGTGTTCTTTTACCATTAGCTAGTAGAGATGATCGATTCACGTGCGCTAGGGATCTGTCGTGTAAAGCGCCAATACTGTATTTATTGTTTGAATTGCGTAATAAAATGAACAGAATCTGAGAGCTGACATCGGTCTCCGTGTCCTTTTCTGTGCATGACAGAATTTGTGTGGCGTGAGAGTGTGAAAAGTGTTGTGAGAGTTGGCAGCTCTGAAAGACGCTAGCTTGGTCCACATCAGGGAATGCTGTCTGTCAAATTAATTAAAACTAATGATAAAAATGTAATATAAACAAATCGAATATCATAAAACTAGAAATAATAGCCTGGGCTTTAATTTTCCCATATCGTCGAAATGCACCGGCTTGTCTATGAGATGGCCCTTATAATTTAGTATTGAGATGTTGTTCATTTAGTCTCTAATCTGTAAAAATCTTAAAATGCTCCACGTGAAACTGCGGTCTTCCAACCTTTTACTATCGTGTCAATTGATTTGATTAATATGCGCGAGGGAGACAGAGCAACACAGCGCTCGCCCATGTTGTTTGAAGACATGAGAAAGCGCGTGGCCGTGGAGGTATTTCTGGAGGTATACTGCCCCCATCTGGTATGGAATATGTTGTATGATTTGATTTTAAATCCCAGAGGGCACCTTTAATGCATGTTCAAACAAATTGTACAGCCGTATAGCATAAACTGAACAAAGACATATAAGGAGCACGTGCAATACTCGTACAAACCCGCCTAAGCTTTTAAAAGGAAATATGTTGTCCCCTCAGTTAAGTGAGCAAACCTGAAATTAATTTATACGAGTTATTCTGGCAATTACACATTTCTCTGGATTATCATACTTTTGAAAGTCAGTGGGGTTTAACAATACCAATATTGATGTTCAAAACATCTGTTTTGTGTTCCACAAAAGTCATACAGGAAAGACATGAGGTTTAGTAATGACAATAGATTTTTACATTTTAAGGTCAGCTCTTTTTAACATTTTCAATTAAAGGAGTAGTTCACTTTTAAAAAAAATGTTTCCTGATGATTTACTCACCCCCATGTCATCCAAGATGTCCATGTCATTCTTTCTTCAGTCGAAAAGAAATTAAGGTTTTTGATGAAAACATTCCAGGATTTTCTCCATTTAATGCACTTCATTGGGAACCAAACGGTTCAAGGTCCAAATGGGAGTTTCAGTGCAGCTTAAAAGGGCTTTAAACAATTCCAGACGCTGAATAAGGGTCTTATCAAGCGAAACGATCAGTCATTTAAAAAATAAATAAAAAAGTTTAAGTTTTATTAAGCACAAATGCTCACCTTGCTCTGATCTGTGATGCGCGTTTGTGACTCTCCTGTTCAAACTCATTCATCAAAATGAACAAATCTTTTTTCGATCTAAAATCTTTATTCATCATCTGGTGTCGTTTAAAGCCCTTTTAAGCTGCACTGAAACTCTCATTTGGACCTTGACCCGTTTGGTTCCCATTGAAATCTATTATATGGAGAAAATCCTGGAATGTTTTCATCAAATACCTTAATTTCTTTTCGACTGAAGAAAGAAAGACGTGGACATCTTGGATGACATGGGGGTGAGTAAATTATCAGCAAAGGTTTTTTTTTTTTTAAAGTGAACTACGCCTTTAATAATCTCTAAACATCTGTCATCTAGCCAACATTATTAAGACTTTGAGTGCTATTAGTTTTACTAATTCTTATCCAGTGCTTAATAAAAGAATAAATGGCTAATTCAGAATTCAACAAATAATGTGGTTACTAAGAAAATGTACCTTTGGCATTCACCAAAGGTAATGACAGCCTTTGGGGCTTGCACAAGCAAGTTGGGGAAATGTTTCGACAGCGGAATTCAAAAAACACACAACAGCAGCGTCATCCACCTCCACCTCCTCTCTGTTTCTCACACATGCATGCGAAGGAACCACTACAGGTAAATTACTGGTTAGTACATTCACACAGAGCGCAGCAGACAAACAGGTTTGTAACTAAATGGGGGAAAACCTCCTCCCGTAAAAGCTTGACTCGGACGGCAGAGAGACTGATACCACAGGGACACAATGAGAGCGTGTCAGGGGAGGGGAGCTATTGTAAAAAGCTGAGGACAAGAGAGGGGGCAAGAAGATAAAAACCTGAAATACTTCATTCTGAAGCCTCGGGCTGTTTACTGAATCATTAGTGGGGATGTTAAAATATGGTGACCAGAAACACCCGCAGACCATGCACATGAACCAAAAGTAGGCATGTCCAGCTTTTGTTTAGTTAGTCGCGTTCCTGGAACAACATTCCTGTCTGAAAATTAACGGTGAATAACACTGATAGAAGCACCTAACCCTGGTTGTGAGCCAACACTCGACATAAACTGTAAACTCGTCCCTCAATTCTGATTGGTTGACTGGCAACAAAGATGTTGATCCAGGAGCATGTTGAAACACTTGGTGAAATCAGGTTTTGCCTGTACGATCAGGCCTGGGACAGACCCCCGTGGGCAAACTACAGCATACAGGACTTAAGTGAGACCATCTCGTCATTCCTGGTTCCTGACTACCATGAATGTGATTTGTGATTTAATTATATTGGATCAGTGAATGCCTCTAAACTCATTCATGGACATGCAGACAGTCTTCAAGTGCAGACAACACCCTTGGCAAAAAAAAAAAAAAAAATACTGCAAATAAAATACAATGCTGGTGTATGACAATTTTCACTTAGAGAGTGCTAGTAATTTTCTTTTTTTTACCCTTTGGGGATGATATTTTATGGCAAAGGCAACAGTTTTTGTTTTGGCATAAACTATTGTTTCCATGGTAATTCTTTTCACTAGTCAGAATGAAAAAAGTCTATCCATGCAATATACTGTACAAACATACACTGTCAAACTGGATTATACATCTCAGGAGATGATAAATTGCACTTCATGACCAGTGAGAAACCAGTCATGCACCACACATTCAATCAATCAGTCAGGGAGCGCTGGAGAAGCCTCCACTATACGCCAGGCGTGGCACTCGAAATTCAGAATGGCCTGACAGTGACTAAACACATTTGTTTCCTTTTTTGACAATTACTTTTATTGAATGGGTGCACACATTCAAGTCGAGCCTCCCACAGTGAAGGTATTAAGTTCACCCACCAGCTCTTAGCTTTAAGGATCTTTCTGTTGACTCAAGGCCAATGAACCAGCTCAACTGGTCACATTTGAATGCAGTTCCTTCACACCTGCCCAAGAATAGTGATATCAACATCCACTGTCGTCAATAGAATAAAAAAGAACAGCTCAAAACATTGACACTGTTATTAACCCCATGGATCAAAATCAGTCTTTTTTGTCCATATACACGTACACAAAATAGCCTATACACAATCAACTTGGATGTTTAAGTCATTCATAAAAAAGTTGAAATTGCTCAACTTATTTTGATTAGTCATAACTTACTGATCATCTAATTTTTTTACAGTGTAGATGACTCGCCCTTTACTACACAGGTTTTTGTCCAATCATATGCTCTCAAGAATGTACCTTGCCAAATCTGGAACTGACAATTCATGATTTCCAGTCATTTTATTAAAGGAGTAGTTACTTTAAAAAAAACTATTGCTGTTAATTTACTCGCCCCCATGTCATCCAAGATATCCATGTCTTTCTTTCTTCAGTTGAAAAGAAATTAAGGTTTTTGATGAAAACATTCCAGGATTTTTGTCCATATAATGGACTTCAATGGGAACCAAACGGTTCAAGGTCCAAAAACAGTTTCAGTGCAAACTGCAAAAGGTTCAAAGGGCTTTAAACAATTCCAGACGATGAATAAGGGTCTTATCAAGCAAAACGATCGCTCATTTAAAAAAACACAAAAAACGTTTTATAAGCTCAAATGGTCGCCTTGCTCTGTTCTGTGATGCGCGTTCGTGACTCTCCTGTCTTATCAAAATGAACGAAACTTTTTTCGTGTCATTTGGTTCATTCAACGAACGAAATGAATGAGTTGACTGGGGAAAAGATTCGTTAATTTTGATGAACGAGTTCGAACAGGAGAGTCACGAACGCGCATCACAGAACAGAGCAAGGCCACCATTTGAGCTTATAAAACTTAAACTTTTTTTTTTTTAATGACTGATCGTTTTGCTTGATAAGACCCTTATTCATCGTCTGGAATTGTTTAAAGCCCTTTGACCAGTTTGCAGTTTGCACTGAAACTGTCTTTTAGACCTTGAACCGTTTGGTTCCCATTGAAGTCCATTACATGGAGAAAAATCCTGGAATGTTTTCATCAAAAACCTTAATTTCTTTTCGACTGAAGAAAGAATGACATGGATATCTTGGATGACATGGGGGTGAGTAAATTATCAGCAAAAGTTTTTTGAAAAGTGAACTACTCCTTTAATAATTTTCAATAATTAGTTTTATACATATCAAAGAGCACAGGAAAACGTGCAGATAAAATGTGCACAAATTTAACACGTTCAAGGAATCATTTATTTCTGGAGGCCTCAAAGAAAGCTAACGAAAATGGGTGTAGAAAACGTCAAATTTAATTACAATAAGTTTTACAATAATTATTTTTCTTATTATTCAGTGAATGGCAAGAAAAAGTGGGGCAGTTAAAACAATCTTTTTTTAAACATATATATAACAGTTACAGTACATAAAAGCAAAACATTTGAAAATAAATTATATTCAAAGCAACATTGAGAAAATACAAAACATGACTGATGGTCATTTTGAGAGAATATAAACACCCTGTAAACAAAACCTGAGAATATATTGATTGGAATGCACCACTGCATGTGCATTGTATTTTACTCAAAAATAACCAGTGCGTCACCTCAAAAAAAAAAAAAAAAAAAAAAAAAATTGGTAACTTCAAATAACTTTAAAGCACTGAACAAAAACGGTCCTGCACAACAACAATATTTGACATTATCCAATTTAATTTTAAATTCTATCTAGTCTATATGAAAACATATCTGTAACAAAGAACACATGGATAAGACGTTTCCATCTAATCCTGTCTCCACACTGTGACAGTACAAAAACGTTAATTCAGTGTATCTGTGGTCAGACTCGTATGATTACCGGTCTCTCCATGCAAACAGCCCAAACCGCTAAAACATACGGAGATAAAACCGTCTACAGGTTTGCAAGGAGTTATAAAGCTCAGAATGTTATGATAGTTGTGTTTTAATGCTAAAATGGAGTACAAATATATGTAATAAATGTGTGTTAGTGTATTTTTGCTGTCGACTTGCACATATATATACGTTAAGATTGCTTTGGCTGGCACTTACATACATATAGGGTTGGAAAAACAATCTGAAAAGTACATACTGTAAATTGTACACCTAATAGTCTTTGCTGAAGTGGGCGCTAAACATTCTGGCCAATATTTATTTCAAATATGGATTAATGAAATATATTTATCGAACTTGAGATAAAATATATCATAAAATGTATTTCAAGGGTCCAAATATATAATGTATAGGACAATATAAATATATTGAGACTGACGATATACAAAAATGGCTCAAAATAAAAGCTAAAATTAACTATATTTATCAGCATTTTATTTAATTTAGCCATTTTTTTGTATATTTTGAAATACATTTCAAAATATATTTGAATATATCCATGAGCAGAGGTTTTTTTGCACGTTTCTGTAACCGTAACTCTTAAAATAAAGCAAGGGGATCACCTTAGAAATTTCTACAAATGAATGGGAATCTCTATCTAGAGAGATCTGATCAAAATCAAAACGATCATCCAGATCAGATCACTGCTTTGGTCGAAGAGCAACACCGTTACAAACGAAACTTTAAAAGGATTAGGATCAGATATCTGTTGATAAGAAGAAAAAGATTTCACACATACTGGAACTCAATAAGCAACTTAAACGTATTAACACAAATACTTTGCAGTTTTAAACTTCAGATGTTCCTGTGTCAACGAAAGTTGATTTTTTTAGACCATGAATCCAGAGGAATCCTGATTATGCAGGACGAATCTTTGTGGGGACGCCCGAGGACAGAGTAGCAATTTCGCTGCAAAACTGTGGTATGTCGTTGTCCGCAGAAATGCAGTTTTTTTTCTTCCCGCTCCTCAGTTCAAGCATGTGGGAGCTTGCCTTACTTTTACAAATAAAACGAGTATGGCTCACTAAGAGAGAAAAAATATGAGGGTTTAAAAAAGGCGTTAAGAAGCTTAAAGACATGATCTGATCTCCAAGGCACGCTTTGCCACGAATGACCTTCCAGCCACGACTCAACGGTGCCTTCGGCCCTTGGGACTTCCGATCATGTTGAACAGGTCTTAAAATCTCAAAGTTTCAGTGCCTTGTGGGTGTTTTGAGATCTCAAACACGTGACCGTCTCGTCACCCCTCAGTGCATTTCAGGGTGGATTTCGTTACAGCTCTTTCAAAATGACCTCTGAGACGTCAAGCCAGGACGACCGACCTGTCGGTTAAGGGTCAGATGAAGGAATGAGAGGGTGATGGAGGCTGTATCATGTTTCTTGAGGAACAAAGGAAGCTGTCCACTTCAGCCAAGGGAAGGAAGCGATGCAGATAAAGGTAAACAGTCTCGCTGTTTAACCGCCGTCCTCTATCGTGTCTTTAAGACTGGGGTACGTTTGCACAGGGTAAAAAGATATAAAAAACAAAAACAAAAAACAATGGACATTTTAAAACACGTTGAGCTCCTGAAAAGGCCAAACCTGCAGGTGTAAGTCAGTTGTGAGGGCAGTTTTTCCAGTTGCCTTTTGCAGATTAAAAAAGACAAATGGCTGAAGGGTTGGTCTTGAAGTCAAGTCTGGGGAAGAGATGTACATGATTTCTGGTTATCAACGTAATGAGAGGGCAAACAAACTGAGAATACGTTCAGCACACCGATGGCAAACCTTCACCCATTCAAACGCTTAATATTCAGCATTTGCCATTAAAATAACATGACGCAGGGAGTCAAACAGGCTCCCATTGCAGAAAGCTTCCCACACCCAGCAAACAGACAGGAAAACTAGTTTTCTTGCAACAGCCACTCCTTTGTTAGTTCTTCAGATTGAAGCATGTCCCTCCTTTCTTTTCAAGAAAAAGTCAAGCATATCTTAGCGCAAGTGTGCAGAGTGAAGCAAGACAATCAACGCATGCTGCCAAAACAGACACTGAAATGTGATAAGGAGGCTTTTTGAAAGTCAGCTCGGACGTATCATGCAGGTTAGAGAAAAGCTAGTGTCAATAGCCTGAAGTCAATGCAAAGAATAATAGCCATGTAAATAACGTTAGCCTGCTGCACGGAAAACAAAAGATGCTATGCACCACTGGAGGAAGACTTACCGGGTCACCTTACTGCCAGGTCTTGCTTTAATATGGAGATGGAATACTAAAACAAAAAGGGGGGGATGAATCATTAATAGAAGGATATAATTACATCACATGATGAGGTAAGAATGGGGTGTAGTCAGAATCGGTAAACATGGAAACAATGACTCTCAATGACTTGACTTTACTCACTTTATGCCAAGAAGCATAAAGATACTGTATATCACAGTCTGGTAGGTGGCTCACAACCAATGTTATTCGCTTACATAGGTGGTTGCACAAGAATTAAAGATATGTTCGTTACAAACAAATTTAACGGATAGTTCACTTTGAAATTATTTTTTGATATGTTTTAGCTTACCTGAAGGGAATCCAAGATGTAGGTGTCTTTGTTTCCACAGTAGTTTCAATTTTGATATTTTGTCTGTCAGTCATATAATTGAGGTCTATGGTCACCACCTAAAAGAGCATGCACAGAGAAGTCCAACTTAAACATGATTTAATGACTCGTAAATGTAAGTACACATTGATGGCCTAAGACACGAAACGAGCGGTTTTTATATCGTTTTTAACTTTTGTTTCCACAGCCACAAAGCGCCCGCGCCCTCAGATCACTTGGACGTGACTGTGGTTACAAGAGGTAAAAATGATATAAATATTGTTCGTTTTCTCACACAAACCGCTCGTTTCGTGTCTTAGGCCATCAATGTGTACTTACATTTATGAGTCATTAAATCATGTTTAATTTGGACTTCTCTGTGCATGCTCTTTGAGGTGGTGACCATAGACCTGCATTATATAACAAAAAATAACCTAAAAATAACAAAATTGAAACTACTGCGGAAAACAACGACACCAACATCTTGGATGCCCTTGAGGTAAGCTAAAACACACCAAAAATTTATTTCAAAGTGAACTATCCCTTTAACATTATCTTCTCTGGTGATGTAATTATATGATGAACCATATATTTCTGTTCCAGAGACAAAAAAAAAATCTCAACAATTCACGCTATGACAAATAGGTCAAACGCTCATGGCGTTTGAGAGACTTCATTGACATGCACGACTGAGCAAAACAACAGTCAGACGGTTGTGCAAGGCTGAAACTGCAGCAGAAATATTCACGAGGGGAAGAAGTGAGACAGAGGCAGACATGTGTGGACATGACTAACATTCCAACTATATTCCAAAATTATCTCCTTTTAATTCTCTTTCTGATTCTTTCATCGAGCTACAAGAGAGATTCGGATCAAACAATAATTATACACTGGATAAATGTAGGTAATTATGTCATTTCATCATCAATTTTATTTACCTGAACAGAAAATAAACATTAATAGAGATTGACAGGGTGAAAGGAAAACTAATGGTGAGAAAAGAAAGAGATGTTCTTTACAAAAGTGTGAACTGTCTCTATTGTCACACAAAATTACCTATTAATGAAAATATCTAATAAAGACAAAACATTTCCAGGTGGTCTAAGAGGAAATGAACTAAGGTAGAACGTTATCTATGACCGACATCTGAAAACAAATGGAGCAGAGTCAGGCTTCACTCCCTCCCAGGATGCATTAGTCACAGGTGGAACATTTAAGTTACTACTTTCAGTTTTAGATCTGATCCGTTTTGCAAGTAAGACTCTTTACACAAACTTTGAATTTCAAACATTTGAAGGTAACGTAGAATTGGCAGAAATAATTCCAATGTATGGGGGTTAAATAACACCTATACCTGGTATGTTTGCATGCAGTGTGTGTGTGTTTGTATTTCTGTGAGTGTGTGGTAGCTTCTTATCAAATAAACATCTCTGTTAAACCTATCAGTTGCATTTGCATTTGCATATCATATCCCTCAAAGCTTTGTTTTGCATTTCCAGTATTTCTTGTCCTTTTCATATGATATATGTGTTATCAAAATCCATTTAGCTAGGAACATTTAGGCCTTCAATGAAATTATCAGCCTTGAAGCTTTTTTTTTTACTTCGTTTAGCTATCAGATTTTTGTCTAAACAAGACACTTTCTGTGTAGTATCATCTATCTGATTAAATCAATGTCAAATGTTTTCCAAAATAAATTAAAAAAAAAACTCTGCCCTCTAGTTTATCAATCTCTTTTCATGAAGTAGAATTCCATGTTGTTGTCTGCATTCAGTGAAAGATTACAGGCTTGGCAAACACTCACTCCTTTGAGAATTTGGCGGTAAAATGGAAGAAGAGAAGAGAAGAGATAGAAAATGGTCCATAATGGAACAGTTAACCCAAAAATGATGATTATTACATTATTTAGCCCAACATTATTCCAAACATTCTGAATATGAAGATTGTTCAAAATTATTAGAACTTTCAGATATGGAATATTTTTTGGAATGAGTGGAATGAGTAAAAAAAATAAATAATTGCATTTAAATTTTCACGTGAACTACTACTTTAACAACATACACTACCATTCAAAGGTTTCGGTTCAGTAAGATTTTTGGTAAAAAACTGTAAAAACAATTAAAATATTACAAAAGACTTCCTTTTAAAAAAAATGTTGCACATATTTTTAAATATTTTAAATTGTAATAATATTTCACAATATCACTGTTTTAACAGTATTTTGATCAAATAAATGTGGTATTGGTGAGCATAAGAGAATTGTTCTTAAAAAAAACGTAAAAAGGTTTAACTGACGTGTGTGATTACATTATCAAATACAAGTGCTAAACTAAGCTTTAATTTTCATTCCATGGATAAGACTGAACAATATTGCCACATTTTAAGTGATGTCTCACCACCACACTAACATCACTCTATAAAAGACTGAACTGAGGTTACAAAAGAACGAAAAATGAATTCCTTTTATGTTAAAGTGCCCCTTTGGCAAATCACAGTGAATGGACAGGAATCGGGAATTGACAGAGCGCATCATATCCTCTCTGACAGTCAAGTCTTACAACACACTTGGGTTGACTGAAGGTCTACTGATTGACATAGTCATCATGTCATGCCTCATGTTACTAAAACCACCCCCATTTCCTGTGAGGTCAAAATGCTAAGTGGTGAAGTTATTTGCATTGTGCAATCAAGAACTGTCATTACCTAATGATTAGGATTATGAGGATACTGAAAAAATAGTTGAGAAATGTTGATTCCCATTCAAAATTATTTTTAAAAGCTATATTTATATATTATACCCTAATAAAATTCGATTATTTAATTTATTTGCTATGGTTTCATGCTAGACTATGACATCGTTAGCTTAGCAACATGCTAACCTTGCTACATGTAAACTTGCTACTCTTCACATGTGACTTTTGTAGTAGATTTTTGGACTATTATGTTAAAGGATTACATACAAATGAAATTTGATTATTTAATTTATTTGCTATGGTTTCATGCTAGAGTATGACATGACATCGTTAGCTTAGCAACATGCTAACTCCAAACTCTAGGCCAGTTTACATGCATTGTAAACTTGCTACTCTTTACATGTGACTTTTGTGGGTTATTTTTGGACTATTATGTTAAAGGATAGTTCACCCAAAAATTTAAATTCTGTCATCATTTCTTCACCCTCAAGTTGTTCCAAACCTGTATGAGTTTCTTTCTTCAGCTGAACACAAAAGAAAAACTTTTGAAGAATGTAGGTAAACAAACATTTGATGGACCCCTTTTTTTTTGCCTAGCAACTGTTTGATTACCCATCTTCTTCAAAAGTACTTCTTTTGTGTTCAGCAGAAGAAAGAAACTCATACAGGTTTGGAACAACTTGAGGGTGAGTAAATGATGACATTTTTGGGTGAACTAACTCTTTTAACTGAGCCCAAAACATTACTTTAAAAGATGGCCAGATCACACCCATATTCAAAGGACAAAAACAATTGCTTTAAACCTTTGCAGCTAACAAACACATTATCCATGCATGTTTCAGATACTCAATTTTCTGAATGTGACAAGAGGGGAGAGGAATGAATTTTAGACTCACTCTGTGCCGGATTTTCTCTTGCATTTTATAATGCAACCGATGATGATCACAGCCAGAAGCACAGCAATTACAATTCCAGCAATGGCTCCTCCAGATAGGCCCTCGTCTACTGTACCGACCTCTGCAAAACATGATGAGGTGTTTAGCGTAACATAAATATATATATATATATATATATATATATATATATATATAGAGAGAGAGAGAGAGAGAGAGAGAGAGAGAGAGAGAGAGAGAGAACAATTTAGCAGCAAATTGATTGTATACAAAATTATTGGAATTATTTGAATTTTTTAAATATGAATTTGAAATTGTACTTGATATTTGCTACAAATAAAACAGTTCAACATTTCATAGATTTGGCACTGAAATAATAATATAACCTTTTTAATAATTCTGTTAATCTGGCACATTATAAGTTATAAAATAGATAAAGGTCAGCCAAATAATCAGCCTGACTGGTATATGAGTCTAATTCTAAATGGCAGAATGCCAGTAATGTCAAAATTGCAAAAGATTGAATAAATATTACTTGTATAATATTATACAATATAGATCATGTTATATATAACAATATAATTCAATTATTACAATATAATATAACCTAATTTGAAATATGAATATTAACTTATTATTTTAAAATAATCATCTTGCATTGTAAATTACAACCCAAAATTAGCATTAATTGGCATAATGGCCTATATGTGAGGTGAAAACGGGAATAAATACTTGAATGAAAAATGCTGAGGCTCGTTTACCTGTCACTGCGAGTTTGTGCGTATATTTTTTAGTTATTCCCGTGATTGGATTGAGTGCCTCGCAGGTGTACGTGCCACTGTCCGTAGCTTTGGCCTTCTCAATCGCATAGTTTGGCCGAGTAAAGTTCATCACTGTATCGTTGAGTTTCCATGCATAAATACTGGGAGGAACAGACTCCGCAGAGCAGGAAATCACTGTAGCCTCTTCGAACTTCACCGCATTCTTTCCTTTCATCATCACGTTCTCTGGACCGTCTGAGAGATATCGGACAAATTGGCTCAGTTAGGCGGGTTACATTTACATTAGAGTAAAGCAAACAAACTGTCGGTAACAATTCAAGCAGAACACCACCATTTGCAAACAAGATAGGCTAATGTTTAGACATGACAACAACAGAGAAGTGATACACAAATCACCGTGTCCAGAGTAGAAATGACACGCGTGTCATGTTTGATTTTCAACAATGTATATAACAGGTGGATTGTTTTATCAAGGAGATGAAGTAATGGGAAAAGAATATAAAAGATTCATAGACCAGGCTTAAATTAAAAGTTCAATTCGGACATTTAAGTAACTTTTATAAACATTACTAGTGCATCTTGAGACAAAATAATGGCTCCGACATATTTTAAGATGCCTTTTAGTCAGGGAGTTTTGTCTGTGAAACTGGGAATATAAAACTAAATATTAATTACATTAATTACATAAATATATGCATATAAAATTTTAATAATTTGGTAATTTTGACCCCTTTTTACGCATTCTTGGGTTTAAAAAGGGGCTTTTCACAGCAATGCCACAGAAGATGCCATGTTTTAAACGCCATGAGCGTAACGAGGTGCTGAACGCCCAGTGTTTTTTACTGGTCCCCAAGTTCACTTAATTTATGTAAGAATATATTTACTGACCACATAGACAGTATTTCAATGAAACTATCCTCTCTTGGACACTTACAGTTGATCACCATCTTATAGCTGTCTTCATCTTGGTTCACTTTGTTCTTCAGTAGGCACTTGTACTCGCCCATGTCCTCTTTAACAACTCGAACAATCGTCAGAGATTTCTGGTCGCCTGAAAGGGTGACACGGTCACCAGGAGTCAGAGGTTTGCCGTCCTTCAGCCATTCCACGGTTTCAGCTGTCCCAGCGGCTGCCGAGCAGGTGAGGTTGACTGTGCTGTTGCCAGCGATGAGAAGTGATGCGGAGCTGGAGATTTTTGTCCCGGATAAGCCCTCTACAAGAACACAGCAAAAGAAAAGACAAATCATCAGAATATGGACCCCAATGACAGACATAATGTCAATTATAAGGTGAGAACAACGTTGAAAACGTTTAGTAAGATTTCTTTCTTTATGTGTTGAAATTAAGTCTCTTATGCTCACCAAGACTGCAAAAACAGTAATATTGTGAAAAATGTTTGTAATAACTTTTTTTTTTATAAATGTAATTAATTCCTGTGACGCAAAGCTGAATTTTCAGCATCATTAGTGATCCTTCAGAAATCATTTTAATATGCTGATTTGGTGCTCAAGAAATGTTTCTACCTATAATCAATGCTGAAAACACAATAATAATATAATTTTGTGTAAACTGATACTTTTTTCAGAATTCTTCGATGAATAGAAAGTTTTTAAAAAAAGAAAAAGAAAACTGACCCCAAACTTTTAATAGGTAGTGTAAATGGTACAGATCAATCTGATTTGTGATTGGTCGGACAGTAGTTTACCGTCTAAAAGGGCGATTCTTGGCTAGAAAAAAGCTGCAAAGTGGACCAGATAATATGTCAATCTAACCACATAAGATAATCTCTCACACCAACTTCATTCACCACAGCACTTTGACCATTCCTTCTTCTCTTGTTTGTGCAGACATCATTACTGTGGAATGCACCAGTCTGAATCAGACTCATTGCATTCACCAAATACCTGACAACACAGTTTGTTTTTTGTCTTCATGTTTTTAGTTTCGGCTAAGAAAGACGCATGTAACATCTGCAAATGCACTCTCTCAATTCATCTCGAGTTCATAAACTTTGAGAAACGCATCTCGCATTCATCTCATTAAAGCTGTTTGAGCTTTTTTGCATGAACCGTTCAGAATTTAAATCTTATACAAAATGAATGACAAAAATGCATTACAGTTACACCTTTAAGACCAGCCTCCAAGCAGAAGTCGGTATTCTGCGACTGAAACCTTAGCCAAGTGGTGCCTACCCCAAAACCTATGTGACGTCAGACAGTTTGTATTCTGCTTTCTTTAGTGTGCTAGTTTCACACACATGGAAACACCTCAGGGGAAGACATGTAAGCCGTGTACAATCAGCCTGCCCTCAGTCAAAGAAAGCAGAACATGCCTGAAACTTCTACCCACTAACATGAACCGAGACTCCTAGTAAAGCAGAGGAACAGGTTCATCTTTTAAAAGCACTTGTGAGTTAGGAAGCCATTTTGAATAAAGGCAGCAGACAGACATACAGCACAGCAGTGGCAGTGTAAAATTAATGGGATGCCTTTAGTGTAAAAAACAAACGAAAAACGCGGTGGTTTGTGGGTGGTGATGACGCATTGGATAAGACACGTGCCTTTGGTGTGAGAGACCCGGGTTCGAATCCACTGTGAGACACCAATGTGTCCCTGAGCAAGACACTTAAAGGAGTAGTTCACTTTTAAAAAAGCTTTTGCTGATAATTTACTCACCCCCATGTCATCCAAGATATCCATGTCATTCTTTCTTCAGTCGAAAAGAAATTAAGGTTTTTGATGAAAACATTCCAGGATTTTTCTCCATTTAATGCACTTCATTGGGAACCAAATGGTTCAAGGTCCAAAAGACAGCTTCAGTACAAACTGCAAAGGGCTTTAAATGATTCCAGACGATGAATAAGGGTCTTATCAAGCGAAACGATCGCTCATTTAAAAAAAAAAAAAACAACGTTTAAGTTTTATAAGCTCAAATGGTCGCCTTGCTCTGTTCTGTGATGCCCGTTCGTGACTCTCATCAAACAGTCATCGAAATGAACGAATCTTTTCCAGAGTCAACTCGTTCATTTAGTTTGTTGAATTAACCAAATGACAAACATTTTGATAAACAAGTTCAAATAGGAGAGTCACGAACGCGCATCACAGAACAGAGCAAGGCGACCATTTGAGCTTATAAATCTTAAACTTTGTTATTTATTTATTAAATTAGCAATCGTTTTGCTTGATAAGACCCTTATTCATCGTCTGGAATCGTTTAAAGCCCTGATTTGCACTGAAACTGTCTTTAGGACCTTGAACCGTTTGGTTCCCACTGAAGTCCATTATATGGAGAAAAATCCTGGAATGTTTTCATCAAAAACCTTAATTTCTTTTCGACTGAAGAAAGAATGACGTGGACATCTTGGATGACATGGGGGTGAGTAAATTATCAGCAAAAGTCTTTTTAAAAGTGAACTACTCCTTTAATCCCTAGTTGCTCCAGAGGCGCGCGACCTCTGACATATAAAGCAATCGTAAGTCGCTTTGGATAAAAGCGTCAGCTAAATGAATATGTAAAAGTAAAAAAACGGCTGCTCTTTTCCATGCAGTTGCAATTAATGGGGACAAAAGATTTCAAGCTTTACTAATATTATATTCTAAGTCTTCTGAAGCCATATAATAGAAGACTGATATGTAAATATCATTCACTGATTTACTGATTAAAACAAATTGGTTTTGTGAATCAGATCAATTGATTCATTGAAATTGTCTATTGAACGCACTAAGGAGAGATAACAGCATACATTTATATCTGATTCTCCCTTAAAGCTATCATTCATTTCAGAAGACTTGGAATACACCGAATGAGTCTTATGACACTTGTATGCCCTTTCTGAAGTTTGAAAGTCTCAGTTCCCACTCATTGTGATTTCATTGGAAAAGTGCAACCAGCAGCAATTCACCTATTTGTGTTCCATGGAAGAAATGTAGTTATACGAGTTTGGAATAACATGAGGGCGAGTAAATGATGTCAGTTCTGAAGAAACTAATCCTTCAACTTTTAACACAGAAATCAAGACTCTTTTCAGTTTTCTTTCCATTGTCCTTCAAGGCAAAGGTATTTGCTCCTTTTCTTCGAGAGCAAAACATTTTTTTAATCCTTATCGCTCTTCTTGGCAATGAAGTCACCATGGCAAAGCATGTCTATCTCTGTGCTGCTCCACTGCTAATCAACAGATTTCAACGGATGTCTTCACTTTTCAACGGATACATATGTTTTTGAATATATTAAAACTGCTGTAATATTAGCAGCACTAGAAATACAACATACACTTGATGGAACTTCAAAGCATCGGTACGTGTCGTATATTAGGTGTCTTTAGGCTTTTGACTTACCCAGAACAGTCACCATAGCAACAGTTGAGACAACATTGCGGTTGGTCTTCACGTTGTTGGCAACACAGCTATAGTTGCCACTGTGACTTTCGTCTAAATTGCTGATGGTGATGTTGGCCTGCTGAAGCAGATCTTTCCCATTAAACATCCACTTGAGCTGAGCGGGAGGGTCAGAATCGGCAGAGCATGTGAGGGTTAAGTTAGAGCCTTTCTTAAGGAATGGATCAGTTGGAGTCTGCTTCATGAAGATTTTCTCAGGGCCATCTAGACACACAAGGACAAAAGGAGATGATGAAAAGAAGGTCGAGTAAAGAGCTATAAAGGCAGCTATGCTTTTAGGATTTTTGATACACTTAAGATTAAAGTCTTAAAACCTCCCATTCCATTTCCAAAATAATTGAAAAAAGTGATGATAGAGAGTGGGCTGCAGTGCCAAACCATGCACTCGCAAAGGTTTTAAAAAAGGTTTTTAAAAAACACTGTTTTAAAGACATTTACCATCGTCCTGCTGGTCACTGGCTCATTCATTCACAACTATATATTATCTAATCTCATCCTGCATTTTTCCCAACACCTGCACCAGAACCTGTCTAAACTAGAAAGTCTCTTCAGATCTGTGTGCTTTCTAGTGCACACCATCTGCAGATACAAAGACTGCAGTAAACTTATCTAAACTTATCTTCAGTAGATGCAGTACGGCTGTTGGTTTTGCTGCTTTAGTGAGAGTAATTGTATGTGCAGAAATGTGTGAATGTTTGTGTTAAAAACACAATTCCATCATACTGTCTAAATAGAACAGTTCAGCCCTATTAAAATAAATGTTTTAAGAATTTTTAAAGTTTCTGAACAATAAACTTCTGAACTTACACAATAGCAGTCATGGCCGGGTCTTTACCGCATAAAGTGGGTTTTAAAATACATCATATGGGTTTGGAATAACGTGAGGGTGAGTAAATCATGACATTTTTGGGTGAACTGTTCCTTTAAGGTAAAGTGTATTTATGTGTCAGACTATGCATGTGTGGGTGTGATCAGGTACGTACAGCTCACAGTGAGATTGAAGGGAGCGCTCTTCCCTGACTCCAGTGCATTCTCTGCCATGCAGATGATGGGTCCTCTTAGATCTGTACGGCGAACTTCGGTAATAGTTAGCTCCTTGCCGGTTGGGTTCAGGATCATATGCGTGCCATCCACCACCAAAGGGACCGAACCATTGAACCACTTGTAAGTAAAGGAGCCTTTGGCAGAGCAGGTCAGAACCACTGTGCTGTTGTACTCTACAGCTTCAGGGAGATTGGACAAAATCTGCACGTCAGTTACAGGCTCTGGAGAGAAGAGAAGAGAAGACAACCATTTAGAAACATCTTTTGCTCTTGCTTAGAGTTTCCAAAGTAATGAAACCTTCAAGAAACCTGGGGTTAAGTGTCTTGCTCAAGGCATAATAGTACTGTAACAGGTCCTGACTTGCTTCTTGGGAGAGCCAACCAACAACTTTTAGATAACCAACCCTGAGATTTGACAACATACATTTTAACATCTAAATCTTGATTTCCAGTCACTGGTTGAGTCTTTAAAAGTTAGTCATATTACAATCAAAAGTTGACTCAAAATGACTCACTATTCACAAAGGTTGTGTATTTCTATAAAACCCAATGCAAACTCCATATTATCCACCCTATTAATCACTGATTGTTTGTGGGATTAACAGTTTTTTTGTGTTATTCAGTGCAACGTTGTTGGCAATGGTCTTTAAAAATTGCTAAAGTTAATTTTAAGTATTCAGTAATGCTTTTAACATACTTGTGCAGGACGTACCTACAACTATTCAACCTTCTAGTAATATATTCAACCACTTGTCTTCACTACCAGTAATTCAATGTTTCTTTAAATACCTGAAGATTGCAGTTCATATTCAATACTTACCAAGAACCGTAAGATAAACCTGTCCTGTCAGTTGGGTTAAATCAGAAGTGATTATTTGGAGCGTATATTCCCCTTCATCGTCCTTCGTCAGCGATCTGAGCTGAATCTCGCATGTTGTCGCATTATAGCTGATTCTGCTGGCGTAATTCTGATCGATTCTTGTGTTGTTACTCATTGGTGCGTGTGTGATAATTGATGAAATCTTTTGATCCTTGCTGATAAAATTCCATGATATGGTCACAGAATCCAATCTTGAGGTGATTGTTGTTCGGAAGGTTACGTTTTTACCTGGTTCAAAGTGATGAAGAGAAATTCTAGTTTAAATTACATTTGTAGACATGTATCTAAGCATTTCATTCATGGTTTCATATCAAAATAACAAATATTCAGAGTTAAAGACATTTGATTTAATTAAAGGATGATGGTGCAACCATCTATTGAAAGTACTTTAAAACTATCATTGCACCTTGAATACCTGTAAATACACAACATGTTTGTCAAGTGACAACAAAATGGCTTAGTTATGCCACTGACTTTGATTTGGCAGACATTTTTTTTTATTAATAACGTTTTTTTTAAAGAAACAATAAAAATGGAAAACTTATAATTTACCAAACTGTGATAACATTTAAGCTCCCCAGACAGTTACACTACCTAGATATGTTTCATTTTATCGAAAACAATGGGTAGGCATTAACAGGGGTAAGGTATATGATATCGCAGTACACACACACACACACACACACACACACACACACACACACACACACACACAGACAGACAGACTCACCTACAACGCCATTAGTTTTGTCGTTCAGAAGCGGACTGTTTTGGGAACAGCATCCTCCTACAAGAGGAACGATATTTAAGTCAGGACACAGGTGAAATAAACTAAAGGGTTAACCTACACATTATGTCCCGGCGTAGGATACTTCTTTAAAGTAAGACTTAACATGAGAGATTTACATTCGCAATTTTACATTTTGAAATACAAATAAATAAATAAAACGTTTGTCTTTAATTTTTTAACTTACCGAGAGCTGCCAAGATGAGCAAAGGAACCCTAAAGTTATAGAAATCCATATGGAAAGATGTGAGTCCCTGGAGAGACAGAGAGGAATGTGAGACGATGTGACTTCTCTGTAAGAAAAAACTTGAGAAAATTCACGCGGACACACCCAACCATTTTATCCGAAAACACGCCCCGTTCAACCTGTAAGTTATACTCTCTTCTGATGTCATACCTATACGACTGAAACTTATACCCTCCCTCATTTCAAGGACATTTTTATTTCTTAACAACACGCAGCATGTTGCCTCTGGGCATAAAATACTTCATAACAATTAGACTATTTACGTAAACATATTGTTTATATAAATTGTTTTATTTACTATTAAATGATGGTAATGTTGAGGTACAGTAAGTTTAGGAGCATGTTACTTCTCCAATACAAAGGCACGTTTTTGGCTGTTATATTAAAATTGAAGTTTGAGAGAGAGAGAGAGAGAGAGAGAGAGAGAGAGAGAGAGAGAGAGAGAGAGAGAGAGAGAGCGAGAGAGAGAGAGAGAGAGAGAAGAGAGAGAGAGAGAGAGAGAGATGTGTTACAAGCTTTGTGTTACAAAGCTTGTATGTGTTACAAAGTTACAAAGCTTTTTTTTGTGTTACAAAGCTTGTGTTACAAAGCTTCTATACTATGTGTTACAAGCTTTGGCAATATTGTAATATGTACAGTCATGCCAATAAAGCAATTTGAATTGAATTGAATTGAATTGAGAGAGAGAGAGAGAGAGAGAGAGAGAGAGAGAGAGAGAGAGAGAGAGAGAGGCTGAGGATGTAGCCTACTTCTAGCTTCTACTGACGCCTAGCGTCAAAATAAGACATTTCATGCTTGCGCATGTGCGTTACTAACAAACAAACAAACAAACAAAAAAACATCGGCCATATAGAATAGAGTTAGCAATTTGCAATAAGTAGGCAGTTTAACAAATATAGTGGTTTCTGTAGATCTCTTTGATCAGTGTATTTATATTCTCTCTTACTTAGCATCGTGAGAGAAAGTGGTCTCTTTGAACATGCTCTCCAAGCTTTGGGACTTCACCCACGATTGAAAACTTTGTCATTTAGTCCTATACACACCCACACGTTGTTCCAAACCTGTATGAATTTCTTTCTTCTGCTGAACACAAACGAAATTTTTAAAAATGTCAGGCAAAACTTTACTTTAGGGTCCAATTCTCACTAGGCTACTAACTAGTTGCTTATAGCATGCATATTACAAGGATAGTTTATTAGTAGCCTACTTATAAAATACATATTAATGCCTTATTCTGCCTATTCTATCCCTAATCCAATTTTAACAACTATACCACATACAATTAATAAACAGTAATTATTAATAAACAGGATATTATAGAGATAATAGTTAATAGTGAGAATAGGACCCTAATCTAAAGTGTGACCGAATGTCAGTAGCCTTGATGGGCCCTATTACTTCAACCTGGGGAAAAAATGGAAGTCAATGGGGTCCATCAACTATTTGGTTACAAACATTCTTCAAAATATCTTCTTTTGTGTTCAACAGAAACTCTTACAGGTTTGGAACGACTTGAGGGTGCAAATGATGACAGAGTATATTAAAATATATATATATATATATATATTAAAATTAAAATATAGTATATTTTTTAATCTTTGAGGGTTTATCTGTGAATTTAGTGTCTGCCCACCTGCCATATGCTGTGGTTCTTCCTCATGCAGTCAAAGGACACGGTAGTACTTCTGCAAGAACACCTTACAGAGACAGATTCCTGTGAAATACATGATCATCTATAAAGGTTTACAGGTGTTCATGCTTCTTACAACATTCCCCTGGAGAGCTGGATGACAGTGGAACAACACTGCTGGCAGTTGGTCTGCTCAAGTGTACGCTTCACTGAAAACAATTACTTTAAGATAACACATTTTTCTACCACTTTCTGATTTATGTATACCCCCAGCTAATAGCTGCCCAAGGGTGTTGCATATGGGATCTGAGAGAATTGACTTGCCGTCACATGTTTTCCTATCTAGGCACCAAATTAGACATTTTTTACCCTTCAGGGTAAAACAAATCAAGTTAATAATACATATTTTGAGATGTGTTACAGTTGGAAGCTGTCAATGGTGGATCATTTTGTCTGGGGTAAAATTCTTGTCCAGCTGAAAATTGTCTATATTATTTATTTTAATTCATTTTACTATCATTTAAAGAGGGATAGTATAAGGGATGATGCAATGGCATCATTTTGGGACAATTTATGAGAAATGGTTCGTCCAGGTCTCAAGAATCAGTTTTGATTTCGCTTTTTATTCAGGATCATTATTCCGAGCCACAAAGCGCCCGCGCCCTCAGATTACTTGAACGTGGCTGTGGTAAAATCTATATAAAAACGGTTCGTTTTCTCACACAAACCGCTCGTTTCATGTCTTAGGCCATCAATGTGTACTTACATTTATGAGTCATTGAATCATGTTTAATTTGGACTTCTCTGTGCATGCTCTTTGAGGTGGACCCCATAGACCTCCATTATATGACTGACAGACACCAACGGTTTGACCTAAAAATATCAAAAATAAAAAATACTGTGGAAACAAAGACACCTACATCTTGGATGCCCTTTAGGTAAGCTAAAACATATCAAAAATTAATTTCAAAGTGAACTATCCTTATAATGCACTATTCTGTATAACCATATTCTACATCCCTAAGCTTAACAATTTACTATTAATAATTAGGAGTTTATTGAGGCAAAAGTCGTAGTTAATAGTGCGAACTTGACCCTAAGTGTGACCAAATTTTCATTTAAAATCCCCTTGATGGAAATGTTAGGGATCTCATTAGGGGCATGACGCATTTTTAAAAGCATGCTCAGCATCTCTCTAAATACTGTTCTGTCTCTTCCATGAGGACTAGAAGACATTTTTAAAAATAGACTCATTTTGTTTTTTGTATTTTTCTTTAAGTCAGCATTGCTCATTTCACTTGAACTCACAGCCTGTGCTCCTTCCCATGTCCTCTCATTTAGCAGTCCTCATTCTGAACTCAGACATCCAGAACATCACGTAGGAGCGCTGCATTAGCCTGAGAACATCTCAATGAAAGCATTATCAGCGGGGCAATGCTTCTGTCTACCACTGGAAGGCAGTTTTGAACAATTATTTCAACCTTTCTATCTCAGTTGCATATAAAAGCACAAATCAGGACATCTGCTCCGTTTAGTCATCTTATCATATCCCCTTGGCTGCCCTTATGTAATTCATAAGGGCAGCCAAATGTCAAGTATCCTTTAAAATATGTGGAAATGCTTTAATATCATCTTTCCTGTGGACATCTGAACAGGTTGAACAGGTTGGTGACATCTGGCATGTGTATATATTTGGTTAAATAACGTGTGAAGTGTAGTGTAGTGTGACTCACCTTGACTTTCATGTGCCTGTTCTTCTAAGAATGCATAAACATTTAATTGTTAGCATAATGGATACCTTCGATCACAGTGATGCAACAAGTGTGCCCTAACCAGGCGTGATGCAAGTAATTTGTGAATCACAATGAAAGTGAAAATGGAGCCCTGCATGACACAAACATGGGCAATCAGAAAATGTCTGATGTTTAAGCTGCTTTCACGGCATGTTAAAAAAAATTAAAAACCTCATTAGCAACTACCAGGGGCACGAGGCTCGAGCTGTCACGACAGTCGAAAGATAAATCAAATGAAGTCTTTTAAAGGGATACTTCAGGATTTATTAAGCTTTGTATCACTAGAAAACCTGTAGTATTTTCGAATTACCATGCTTTTCACCCTCATATACCCCTGAGATGAGAGATTTATGTATTTTTTGTCTGGAAAAAAATCGTCCGATGACGCAAAAATCGCCATTTTCATCGCCGAATCCCGGACATTTTGGGCGATCTCGAAACACATTTTCGGGCAGACTCATCACGGAGACTCACTAGTAGCTTAGACTTGTTGTTTAACTACTGCGCTCTGTTACCGGTAGGTGTGGCTTCCTAGGGCAGCGAAGCAAGTGCATTCTGGGAGTTGTTGTCTTTCATCCACATGGCTTTTCTCAGTCTAGAAAGCTCCAAATTCTAAAATAATTTCACATTTCTTCTACATAAATGACCCATTTTATATACACATTCATCTTTCCAGAGGTGGAGTATCCCTTTAAGAGGCCTCCCAAAAAAAAAAAAAAAAAAAAAAAAAAACTCAGGCACTATTAAAACATCTACATCTACTATAATACTTTGTAATTAAGTATTAAATGTTTAGATCTTTCTTACAAAGGATTCAGTGTTGTGAAGAAGAAGTTACGTTATATGGATATTTGGAGTGGGATTTTGGACCAATGATATTTCACTATGGGCGGGGCCATACACCAGGACTGGACAGGGATTGGTTGTGTGGTGTGAAAGTATGGTGGTTGGTGGAAAGGGATCATCTGAGAGGAGAGAGTGGTTGTTTTTATGAACATAGTTCATAGTCATAGTCATTAATTGAATTATAACAATAATACAGCAGCCTTCTTTATTATACGCATAGAAACCAAGTGGCCGATACAATGTACTTTTGTTTATCGCTCTGATTTATTAAGTTCAAAGCATTAATAGCAGAACTAATTAACTTATTGTGTCATACCCAGTTAGGAGTCAGTGTGAGGATTTAGGCTAAATCCCAATTCTCTGTCTTACCCCTTCCCCTTAGTTTTGCAAGTTCACTTGAGACTAAGGGCAATCCCAATTCTTATTTTGATCTAGAGGTAGGGCTTGAATGTAACTCTACACCCTTGCCTCATTGGCACTTCTAAGAATATGCAAATTAGTCCCGCCTCCACTCACTCACACCAGCTCAGCGATCCACTCATTGACGACCACACGTTGACGTGATAGGTTACAAGGTAGTTTGCGACATCAGAAACGCCAGCAATTTCAAACCGCGTTTTTGAGACGGTCTTTCGTTCACTGCAGTTTTGAAGAGAAAATACTCTGAAAATACTTTGCAATGGTGTTGACTTATGAATTTGAACATAATTTGTCTTAAAGCATATTAAAAACACCACATAGCCATATAAAAAAACATTAAAAGCTTGATTTTAACCACTAGGGGACTTTAAAGTATTCCACGCATGATAAATAATATAGTGAGAAAGATTTTTTTCTAAATGACCAAATTACAAGAAACATCCATCAAGGGAAAAAGTCACAGTTTCAATCACTCTGTTTTATTCAAAACATGTGTCTATATATTTAACGAAAGAGGGTAACACAGCCCTCCTACATAACCCCACAGTTTTATTGGAATATTAATAACAATATAATCTGAATCATTTGCCTCATTTTCTTAATTGTGGGTGTGATTCGTCAAGCACTGGTATAGAAATCTTTGAAAATGAATGAGAAATAAAAAAAGAATCAGCTTTGAATTAAAAAATGACGATTACATTTCCATCTCTCTTTGACGCACGCGCGCGCGCACACACGAACGCTAGAACGCTGCAGATTCTAAACAGGGCTGCTATGTTTACACTTTGGATATAAATGGATATTGGCATCTCACAAGCACCCAGACAGCAACTTCTAGTGCACTTCAACAAACCATTCATGACAGAGGCTCATTTAGTTATATAATGAAAAACATCATTAATTGTCCTCTCACATAATCAGATAAATACCCCTTCAGGTTCACAAAGGTGGTTTTGTCTCGTCTTGTTGTTCCGGGGATGAGAAGTATTTCTCTGTGTACTTACGAGTTGCAAATATTGATAGACAGCTTGTTAAAATCTACATAAAATCAAAACTAATTCTTGGTCTTATTGTGAACGATTCACCAGTGCACGTTACTCCAAAGGGGGGGGGAAAGTGCTTGAATACTATAACGTTTCATAAAAATGTAACTTTCCCACTTCTAAAAAGACTTTCCTGATTGGCTGACAGCATCTGTGCATGCCATTAGTTAATGTTAACTAATAGTCAAATTGGCATTATTGTAGACTACTTTATTAGGTACAATAATGCAGCCTTTCTAAAATCTTGCCAACACAGTAAATGAATCCTGGGTTATGTTAATACAATAAAAGTTATGGCAAACATATTAAATTATAATAGATTTGAAAAGACCGGGATTTGCTGCGATGGTCTCAAGGATGAACTCGACCTTGACATTCCACTGACATTCAGGTCTGGAACGCTCACTTTGCGCGATCCGATCAATTCCTGATGAATAAATCAAGTCCCACTCTACATTTTCATTCTTGAATATCCTAGTAAACTTTTTTAAATTCCGTTTCATGTTGATTTTAACCTTTAACAGCTGGTGTTTTAATTAAATAAAACAGAAGATAAGAGATTGAAACCAGGTGAGTAATCTTAGAGGTTGAAGAACCATAAAACTTCCCCTAAAAAATCTATACTTTGTCCTCAGGGTAATTAACAAGAGGGAAAAAACAGGTATTTTAAAAGAACGAAACCAAAGAACAAGCTAGAAAGGAAAACAACCAAGTGACATCCAGGATTAAAAATTAATTGTAACCCTTCCCCCTTGTTTAAGGAAAGAAAGAAAAGAATTGCACCAAAGTCCGTTCAGTTCAACGTGCACACATTTTAGGAACAGACTCCATCGTCCTCTCACAGGAGTACACAAATCATGGAGAAGATTCGTACTTCAACGCGAAACTGATAGTCGTCCTTATAGTTTCCTTCCGTGTTTCCCTTTATGACATGTTGCATAGCATACTTCCACGGGATATGCATTATGTAGTCTCAACAGCGTGCCAAACCTCCACTGAATGACGTGGCGTTAAACCAAACACTTGGACAGGAAGCGGTTGGCTGAATCATCTCTCACTCTCAGTGTCCATTAATGTAATTTTGCATCCAAAAATTGCCTTTATTTGCAGTATCCCAGAGGTCACTTTGACTGGAGATGTGGACAGAGTCATTCCATCTGTCCTCCAGCACTCATTTACATTAATTTACTGTCCAGATGAAAGGGCGGCCTCAGTCCTGCTTGCAGAGGAGATCAGTGGAGGGGGTTTTAGTGGGCGGGATTGGTCTCGGAGGGGGTGTGGGTTTGGCCCTGCGTGGGCTACTCTCACTGTCGGTGTTTGTATTGGAGGTGGGCGGTGGCGGCGGCAAACGCGGGAGAGATGACGTGGCGGAGGCCAGTGGCGAGATGCGCGAACAAGAGGACGTGGAGCGAAGGCTCTGGATCCGCCGGCACTCCTGGCACACCCGTACGTGTGTGCAGCCGCGGGGCGCCGCTGTGGGGAGCAGAGCCGGTGTGCTGCTCGGGACACTGGCACTGAGAGGGTCCTCCAGCAGTCGCTGAGGCCCCGGGCCCATTTCCGCGGCACCCCCACCGGGTCCTGGTCCCGCTGCAGCACCGGTTAACGGCCCCGTCCCACTGTAGAGCTTGCCGTTGCTAAGACGCATCTCCCGCACAAGGCGTACGGGCCGGGGAACTCCTAAAGGGAGACGTGCTGGGTGCCGAAGAACACCCTGGGACGAGAGGGGTCGCCGCCGCCGCGAACGAGAGTTCTTTTTACAGGAGATGACGTTCCTGAATTCGGTCATCATTTCCTGACATACTGACACCTTAGTGAGGAGGAAGAGTGAAAAGAGAGTCAGGAAGGAAATGTAAAATGACGGGACAGGAGTAAAATGAAAAAAGAACAATTTTCTCATTTACCTAAAGTGGGAATCACTATTACTACATCTCGTAGTGACAGTCATGCCTGGTTCACAATTTTTTCGTCTGTTACGATAGTCGCTGTGTCAGATTACGCGATTTTGTCTCCTAAAATCTTGTGTCGTTGACAAGAGACGTCAGACTACACGTTGCTTCCTGACCAGTCTTTAACGGCGCGCGTGATGTCATCGAGAAGGCGAAACTAGTAGCGAGTGACTTCCGGAAACGAATGTAAACAAACAATGGATGAAGCGCTGAGTGTTGTATTGGCGGTCCTGTGTTCAGAAAAAAGTAAAAAATGAGAGAAAACCCGACAATGGACACGTTCCTGGATTGCTCGAAGAGGACAGTGTGGGCGGTCAATCCTCCAAAGAGAACTTGAGGTAAAATATTGTTTTCTTATATATTTTTACTATTAGTTTTAACGTTTTAACGCACCATCGTCTCTCTTTCGTTTCTTTTCGTTTTTGAAAGTTGTGTACGGAAAAGCTTCTGTGCTCCTATTGGTCAACATCATACATGTGACGGAACCGTCGTGGACAACCGTTAAAAAAATTAAACATGCTAGTCTTTTTGTCATGATGTCATGAAGCATCGCAGACGCGACGTAGGTTGTCGCCTACTATGACACCATATACGAGATGATACGATCGAATCTTTGTTGTATACAAATCCCCATGACACCCTACGTCAAACGGATCGTGCCAAAATCGGGCTAACCAGGAATTAGGGCAGTCGTTCTCAACCTCAAACCAATCCTCCCATTGTCCACAACATTATTCGAAGGCCCCATTTTTTTCTAATGCCGTTTTTTCTTATTTTAATCATTTTAAGTCATCTGAGGCCTGTTTGGAAATTTCCTGAGGCATCATAGTGGGCCCCTGGTTGAGAACCACTGAGTAAGGGGTTTCTCTAACAGGTGGACTAATAAATAAAATGTAAAAAAAAAAAAAAAAAAAATCCCACAAATTTAAATATATGCATTTGGAAGATGATTTTATTGAAAGCGACGAAAATGCATTTTAGATATGATGTCAGTAAATGTGCTAATAGGGAAACAACCTATGACCTTGGCGTTACTCATAGACATGTACACTAGACCTCACCTTGGGGTTCTAAGCATGCGTCAAAACCGCCGCCATCTTGGAACAGGGGTCTTGTCATAGGAAGTAGCTAGGTAAGGCTGCTATCTCTGCCTTTACTTCGAATTCATTGATGGTGGCGGACTTTTGTGCAGCGTATGAAGTTCACGGATGAAATCTGAACTAAGAAGAATGTTTAAAAAAAAATAAAAAATTCTTTCTGGAATCAATGATAAATACATGTCTGACCGTTGGAACAAACCAAAAAAACAAAAAAAAAATCGCATTCATGATGATTTTATTTCCGTTAGACCTGTGTCTACTACATTGACGCTGATGCATTAAAGTGGAGGGGCTCCCCTGTTTCAAGATGGCGGCTCTATTGACGCATTCGTTCCAATGAACTGCCGTAGCCAAGGTGAGGTCTAGTGTATATGTCTATGGGCGTTACTAGTGACATGCTTTGCCACTTGACCTGCGACAGAAATATCCTGCATTGAATGATGTATGCAAAGTAAAGTTTTCAGAGCAAGAACAACCATGTTTTTACTTTCCCATTAGTCTAAAATGAAATGAATATAATATGTTTTCAAATATTGTGAAACTCAAAGGCTGTGATTCACTATTATGCTGGGCAAGCATTTTCTTTTAAAAATTTGAATTAAATGAACATGCTAAAATGGTCTACAGTAGCATTCATTCATACTCAAGCAACCTGTCCCTATATTTATATACATGAATCTGGCATATGCTTTTATCCAAGGTATATACTTTTTAAAGATGCATATTCTGGGAATCGAACCAATGACCTTGTTCTGCTAGCACTACGCTCACCATTTGAGCAACGCTAAATAGAAAGCTATAAAACAGTAACATTGCGAACACAGACGGCGTGACTGGTTGGCGTTGTGACCTACTCGTGCATGTCTGTGGTTTCGGGCAGGGCAGTACCCAGTACGGGAGTGGGGGCGTACCTCATCTGTCTCGGCTGACCGGCGCGTGGACCACACAAACTCCATAATGGCTACAAAAACAGCTATTATGAGCCCACAAATCAGCACCACGAATATCCCGCCGATATTCTCCATACCTAGACCTGGAGGAAAAACATGGCAATGTGAGCAACACACAGAATTGTCCTTTACAAACACACTGTTTATCTGATTAGGATCCTATTAATCTACATGTCTGAGATGTAGGTGGGTTTGGGCGGCATTCCTAAGAGTTATCAGCGGAGTTATCAAGACTGAACGAATTTGTTTCAATGAATTGGTAAAAAAACAAAACAATGCAGTGGTCCGTTTGCATTACTCAAGTTTCATTTGAGCAACGGAAGTAACATCTGTATTCTGTGGTTTGAGATTTATGTTTTTTTATGATATTAGGAAGAATATACTGCATTATGACACCTAGAGAAAAAAAAATATGAGCCTAAAATGAGCCAGGAGACTTCGGGAGTATAAGAAGAGGAGAAATATCTTCTTAATTATATAATATTAGAAATAAAAGTCATTGTTTAATTTTTGAATAATCAATGTTTTGTTCTGTGTAGGGTGACCATTACAAGTTTAATCTTGAAGCAAAAACAGTTTAGAACAAACAGGAACAGACCAGAAAGTACCAGATTCATATGATTTTGAACTCATATTATTTGACATTTTCTTGTAGATCTGTAAATAACCTTGAGAGACTGTAAATGTCACTATCTGGTAAAAATACAAGCTTTGCGAATGCAAACCACTCATAGGCACACACGTGTACATGCCTTTCGCAACAAATAGCTACCATATTCCCTCCATTCCCCCAGGGCCATTGTGAGTCTACAACACACACAATGCAAATATCACCAGACCACATAAATAAACAGTCACAGAGTTGGCAGAACTGTGAAGCATCTGTCATTTGAAACAGACGGATGAAGTACATCCTATATCCAATATTACAACAATATAGAGAACGACATGTTTGGGTGATTTGAGCAAAAGTATATATTTTTTACATTGAACACAAACAGGTGTTTGTTGAAGAGCAATATATGAAGAGTTCAGATGCAAAAGCCTCTAAATGCCATTTGAAATTTTCTTCTTTAATGATGATTTTTAACAAACTTGTATATTTAAGTTCAGTAATTTCACTTAAATAACAATTAATAGGTAATTATCATTGCCATTTAAGTGAAATTACTGAACTTAAATATACAAGTTTGATAAAAATCATCATTAAAGAAGAAAATTTCAAATGGCACTTAGAGGCTTTTGCATCTGAACTCTTCAAATATACTTGGGAAGGCAAAGTACCTTTTTCACCCTCATTTGAACAATACATTTCCATAATTTATATCAATATTTATAAAACTCCCTTTTTACACTTATTTGAGACCACACTCACAAAAAGTAATTTATAGACAAATACATACTTTATAAATTAGAAAAAAATATATATTAACTTTATATATACTGTATATATATATATATATATATATATATATATATATATATATATATATGAAGAGTTCAGATGCAAAAGCCTCTAAGTGCCATTTGAAATTTTCTTCTAAAATGATCATTTTTATCAAGCTTGTATATTTAAGTTCAGTAATTTCACTTAAATGGCAATGATAATTACCTATTAATTGTCATTTAAGTAAAATTACTGAACTTAAATATACAAGCTTGATAAAAATGGTCATTTTAGAAGAAAATTTCAAATGGCATTTAGAGGCTTTTGCATCTGAACTCTTCATATATATATAGAAATTTGTCTATCTACCCAGCCCTGATCCAAAAACACATATATTGGTATTCTTAGACATAATATATGATATAATTAAATCTCTTTTTGTAGGTTAAAAGGATAAAACATTTTGGGAGAATAACTCAATAAATACATACGTACTTGAGATTATAAACATCCAAGGTTGTACCAGACCCTATTAAAGTCAGCATCAAGACGTAAAGTAACAGAACAGTACATTACGGTGAAGTGCTAATGGGTATAATAACAGTGCTCACCTTTGGCTCGATGGTCTTCTTCTTTAAGACACTTTCCCCCATCCCACCAACGACGCTTTAGGATTTCTAATCTGTTGTTTTCTTGGAGCTGCAGCACACCTAATGTGATCTCATCTCTGAATGGTGAACCTGCAAGAGAGAGAGTGAAATTAGTTTAGCTAGTTACTCTCAGAGATACCAGCTGACAACCATCTACTGTAAAACCTTGGCAATGCTGGGAAACTTTCTAACGCATTCTCATCCCAAGGGATCATATACTGATGCTTTTGCCAATGCGTATACATCCAACGCACATGGCACCCTTTAGCTTCAATATAACACGGTTCGGTTATGGTAGGTTTAGGTCTGGGGTAGGGTTAGGGTTAGACCACTAGGAGGCGCCTTCTGGGTCATATATATCTCGTCTCATATTGACGCTAAAGGGTGCCATGTGTGTTGGGTGTCTACGTACTGGCAAAAGCGTCAGTATATGACGCCTTGGGATGAGAACGGGCTGAGAAGTGAACACAGGCTAAGGCTAGCAATGCAACAAGCATGTTAAAGGAATACTCCACTTTTTTTTGGAAATAGGCTCATTTTACCACTCCCCCAGAGTTAAAAAGTTGAGTTTTACCGTTTTTGAATCCTTTCAGACGATTTTTTGATATTTAGAAAAATATCAGTAACCAGAGAGTTTCTGGTCTCATTGACTTCCATAGTGGGAAAGAAAATATACTATGGAAGTCAATGAGACCAGAAACTCTCTGGTTACTGATATTCTTGTAAATATGAGAAAAATCGACTGAATGGATTCGAAAACGGTAAAACTCAACTGTTTAACTCTGGGGGAGTTGTAAAATGAGCCTATTTCCAAAAAAAGTGGAGTATCCCTTTAAGACCAGCAATGCTACACAGTAAACAATTGTTGGCCTTTTATACAGTTCTACTGACAGGGACAGTGATAGGAAATGACCCAAACTGGTGTTGGCCTCATTAGCACTAAGGTTCAACGTGCCAAAACACATAAGCTAACTGCTAAGACATCACTCTGAATATCTTAAGTCAACTGATGTTGTGCAAATGAGTTACATTAGCTAGTGTGTCAGAATGAAAATTAATGTTATGATAGGTTAATTCCAAATTATTTGACTTGTTAGAATAACGTCATCCTTCATTAGACATTACTGTATCACAGCTAATCATGTCCCGCTAATAACAATGTGACGTGAAAGGATGTGTTCATCAAATTAATAGATGTTAATGTAAATGAGACACTGCAGATCTGCACTGGAATAGATCAGCTCAGCTGCCACCGGATGCCATTTTATTATTCATTCAAAGGCTGTGAAAGCCAAGTATCATGCAGGAGCATGTTTTTGCACCACAATATGCAAACCATATTTTTCTAAATATATTAGAAAAATATATTTCTACAAATTAATAGTTAATGATACAAATTACGTTGCTCCTTGCACGTTTCACAATATTTTTCAAACTAAGTGAAACGTCAAGTGAGTGGGGCTAAAAGTGCATTGTTTTATCAGAAACAGATAAAAGTGAATCTAGCAATGTTTTATTACGTGGTTTGTTACACGTATTGCAGCAGGAAATTAAACAGAATATGAGTGGCGCTTATTGCTTATCGCATTTTAAAATGAATGTACCAACCCTTCCCTAAACCTAACTGATAGCAAAAAGCATATAGCATGTGCTGAAGCAATCACAATTAATTGTATGTATAAGTACGTTTTTGGAGTTTTACAAGATTGTAGGTAGAGGCATGTTTTTCCAAGTTTCTAACATTATTGTTTTATATCTCATAAAATAGTTTGAAAATGGCCTTCCTATATTTATTATCAAGAGAATAATTCTGGTATTCCAAACAGCAGAGGTTTGAAAGCTCACCAACCACATATTGCATTGCTTGGATTTTAATGACATTCTTGTTATCTCAGGTTATGAAAAATTGTTTTTCATCTTCTGACACTGAAATATTCAGAGAAGTTTAAATATTTGTGGTTTCATTATCAAAACGACCTGATTGAACATCACTTTTGAACCTGAATATTTACCACAAACATATAAATACATTAAAGGGATAGTTCACTTTGAAATTATTTTTTGGTATGTTTTAGCTTACCTCAAGGGCATCCAATATGTAGGTGTTTCTGCAGTAGTTTCAATTTTGATATTTTTAGGTCAAACCGTTCTTGTCTATCAGTCATATAACTGTTTTCATAAATACATGCATCCATGTAAATATTTATTATATATATAAATGTTATATATGAATAATACATTTTCTTAAAATATATACATGGATGTGTGTGTATTTATATATATACAAAATTATTAACACACAAAAATATTAAGTAAACATAAACTCTTATTTTGGATGCGATTAATCGCAATTAATCTTTTGCACAGCCCTGTTATTTATATTTTTCAACTTTATTTAATATGAACTAATATGAATTAAAGGTGCAGGATTTCTGAGAAACACTGTTGAAAGTGGATCGGACCGAGCACCAAAACACACTTGTAGCCAATCAGCAGTAAGGGGCGTGTCCACTCATGATAGGGGAAGGGGTCCGTGTTGCCTAGCATGTTCTTAAATTTGGGGGCGGGGCTATAAAGATAGAGGGATGTGATCCTTTTTGGTAGGGGTGTGTTTGTTTGGGTGATTTCAAATATCAATAGTGTTTCTAAGAAATCGCTTACTGCACCTTTAAGTGAAGAATATATTCGAAAATAATTGTATGCTAGATCAATAAATGCCTATTGATGTTACAGAAGAAAAAAAAGGGTTAGACCACTAGGAGGCGCCTTCTGGCCCATGTATAGCTGCGTCTCATATTGAATGCTAATATTACGTCTCATATTACGCTAAAGGGTGGCATGTGCGTCGGCTTCTTTGTCTTTTTTGGAGCATTCCAAAACGCGAATAACAACATGGCCGTATGTAGCTTAATCAATATAACTGTGAAGATAAACTCATCAGCATAATTCATTTTCAAAATGCTTTGTTTATTCAAACTTCTAGTTCACATTCCCTTTTTTGAATGACGAATATAGGTTATTGTCATCTGCTGTTGTGGACAGTTATCATGGAAGACTCATGCATGCGCAGAACATACATGCTTAGCCATAGGCTGTAGTTTTTGTGGTGTTCAAATGCAACTTGTTTTGTCCAGACAAAGTCGACGTGAGCCTACTAGTTCCACTAGTTCTCTGATGTTGGTGTGTACCGACCTAAACCCAGTCTAAGGACGCTGTGATGACATCATCTGCACTCCAGGTAGCTATGGAAGCAGATGGAGGGTGTCCATGGTGACCAACCTCTTCATGAATGAGTGGATGAGAGGATTTTATCACTTGGCACCAGAACTTTGGAAGGCGACCTGAAGAGATGTGTTGGAACTGGGAGGAGGGAATGATTGTTTGAAGACATTCTATGACCTGGAGATAGACTTTGAAGACGGATGCTGCTCCTGCAGGTTCTCATTTCAAATCTAGTTATGGGTTCATGCGATTATGAGTGATACTTTGGAGGACAGTTTAGCCTAGTGGTCATAAGGTTGTTGGACTGATCTTCCTGGAGGACAGAAGATCAAAAACGGCAAGCAGCACTGGTAATTTCCTCACCGCATCCAAGTTACCCACTTGTTTGTGAGTATTCATAAGCATCCCTCCTTCATATGTCCTCTCTCTTATTTTCGTAATCTTATCTGCTAAAACAAGACTATACTCATAATTTCTTCAATTTTTGGAGCCAACATATCTTTTACTGGGACCAAACACGAAAGGCTTTAATTCTACTTCATGCATAATGGGAGTCTACAGCACACAGATTGGGCCGCTTTCAGTTGGGGCGATTCCTCGGTCCCAAAAATTAGACAAAAAAATAATAAAAATTACAAAAATAAAACCACCAAATATTACAAAATGTGACATTAAAAATTGTATAAATCACTTGTTTTTCTAAAGTTACCCTGTCCAATGGCGACACCCACAGGTAAAGTTACAGCACGTATCTCTTGCCTGCCTCCTGAGTCCATTGAGTTTTAACAGGATATGTTTGGGTCATGTGATAAGAGAGCAGCTGAACATCAGTATACAAATAAAATGTATTATTTAAATTGTTAAGCCTTTAGTAATTATTTTGAATTAGATTTAAAAATGCTTATAACTAAATTGATGAGCTTTATACATAATATATACTCGACTTTAATGCATGGAACAATAATTACAAAGTTAATGTAAAACATTCAATAGAATTGTTTTTTTTTCCTATTTTCTATTCTATTATTCTCTTTTTTTATGTAATGTTTATTTAACCAGAAATATGTGATAACATTAAGTGTAACTGGCACATGGATATATATATATATATATATATATATATATATATATATCCAAAATAAAAGTCTGTGTTTACATAATATATATGTATATATAAAAAATACACACATATGCATGTACTGTATATATAAGAAAAAAATATTATTCATATATAAAATATTTATATATAATATGAATTATATATAAATCTATATACAGTATAATATAGTATTATACATGAAATATTTCTTAAATATATACAAGCATGTGTGTGCATTTATATAATATATATAAAATAATTATACACAGTGCACCCACATATATTATGTAAACACAAACTTTTATTTTGGATGCGATTAATCACGATTAATCGTTTGACAGCCCTAGTGTATGTATATATACTCGACTCGATAATATATACTCGATATATATATCGATATATATATATAAAAATGGAGAGGACTTTGCCTCCACAATTCAGAACACACTGTGCGCCACTGATTTTGAGATAGAATGATTTGGACAGTGTTGTTGTTAACTTAAACTATTCAAAAAACGTATTATTGAAATAAAATAAAGCTGAAACGGAAAATAAAATATAAATATTAGAATATAAATATACTGAATAAATAAAAATAAATTAAAGCTAAATGAAATATATATAAAAGACAAAAGCTCATAACAAAATTACTAACTGAATTTAAAGTAAAATTGCTAAAATATAAAGAATACAAAAAAATAACAGGACATGTCATTCCCATGTATTTTATTGCTTCCAGTGTTTTCAATTCCTGTCCCATTAGATTTACAAAATTGTTAATCCTCCTTGAGGTTTCACAAAATCCTCCCCAAATTTCATCAGAAATCTCACAGACCATGTCAGTAAAGAGCTATTAAAAGGTTTCTGATACACTACACTGTTCAAAGCAACACATCAAAGACACTAAACAGGAAGTAAGGTCATATCTTTGCAATTCTTTGAGATATTGACATGAAACTTGCCATGTATTGTTGCCAAGAGCATTTGGTGACTGTTCAAAACAAGTCAAGACTTCATAAAAGAGAACCTTTTAGATTTTTTATTTTTGCTCTTTTTCCTCCTCATAAATATAACCGACACTAAACACACTATAATGAAATAGCTAGAAAAGATGCCACACATGAGGTGAGGCTGTTATTAGGCAAAACTTTAGAAATGTATAAATAGTGGAAAATCTATACTATACTATTCAAAGTTTTTATTTTCATAATCTACCAATGATAGATTTTATTAGAGTCCACAGCATTCACATTTTAAGCTCTAGTCTCCGTTCTAAAACGTACGGATCAAAATTCCAGGACAAAAAGCAATACAGTTGCTAAATATTTGCAGCCTTTTGATGAATTGTCGAACAACACTGGAGCTGAACTAAAGACATTTTGCATTTCAGCCATCTGCTGACCACCAACTTCAAAAGAATGTTGAAAAGTATACCAGCACTATTAGCTTGCTTCGAAGTCTTTGGGAATTGGAGTAGTAGGCCTACTGTGCGAAATCACCACATGACGCCAATAACACTTTTACGGCCTATTTCACTTTCACAGCTGGATGTAAGCTTCTTAAATTTTGACTTGACAAGCCCCTTTGCACTCAAGTCCAGAAAACCCTTCTACATTATTTCAGTGAATACAGTGGCTCAGTGGTGGCCATTATCTCACCCAGCCCAATCCTTTAAGACCCCATGTTTTCTCTTTTCCTGCCTTTATCATTGTAAAACCCAATAGTGAGTATTAAAGCCCTCAAAGCAAAACACATATTCCATAAATTGTTTCGTTTCCCTCCCTCATATCTCTGTCTGTCAATGAATAATTGCTGGAAATGCCAAATGTCAAAGACAAAGTCAGAAATGCTATTTATCAAGCTTTACGGAAAGTGCCAAGCCATCTATCCAGGAGAAACATTAGATAGAAATGTGCAATATCAGAGCGTGAAGAGATGCTATCATTGTGACATCTTGTCTGTCTGATGTTCTGTCAGAACTAAAATGGTTTTTATTTTACTTTTGGATTTGTTTGGGTTTTTTTTTCCAGAGGGATAATGGATAGAACAAAAAAAAAATGTTTTGATACTTTTGCCACTTTACGCCGTTCACTCGAGCAACACGTCAGAGTTTGGGTGCTAAAAGTCACATCTCACAGAACTAAAACAGAAATTTTACATAATAAATAAACAAATAAATGCTAATGTATATTATTTGTATATTTACTAGGCATATTTATTGCCAAAGAAATAAATAAATTGGTAAAAAAATTATTTTTAATATGTGGCTCCAAAATCGCAAGCAAAGCATCAAACTGTTCCACTGACATTCTGAGGTAAATTTTGAATCGCTCGGTATAAATTCGCAACTCCTTGATAACGAGGTGCTTCCTCTCTGCGCAATTTCAGGATTGGATGGACGCAATGTTTTCTCTTTCTTCTCTTTTCAATTAGAGAGAGGACAACAAAATCATCACTGCTTGACGAATCCATTTTGTATTTTTGCGTTTTTCCCCGCAAAGTTTTAATAAATACGCATCGGACTCAGTGTGCAAGGTTTCTGTGTGTGACGAATTTTTAGGCTGACGAACACGAAAAAACGCATACGAAAATTTCGTACTCAGTGTGCAATGGCCTTTACTGTGAACAGAGCCGCACTAAAATTTGTACGCATGTACTGTAAGAAATTAAAGTGTTAAGGCCATTGCACACAGAGTCCGAAATTCGCATCCGAAATTTTCGCACGTTAAAAAAATTTTGACCTCACGTTAAGTAAATCACGCTTGCACACCTCCTCCGAAACTTTCGTCCGTCATGAAAAAATTCGGATCGGGTTCGATTTTCTGCGTTTTTCGCATCCACAGCCAGCATTTTGAGAGGTTTTTTGACAATTCAGGGCAGGGGGGAGCTCTTTCCGCACATCATTGCACATATGCGCAGTGCTTTCAGTTTCAGTTTTCAATTCGATCAAGTTCTCTTCTCTCGAACGGATTATGAAAGGAATAACCTCCCCTTTCAATCAGTTTGGAATTTCGGATCGTTTAATGTGTGATTGAGCAGCCAATACGATAACTAATGTATTATTTGGGACCCATAATACCTTAAACATACTGACAGTCTCTGTTCATAATCGATTGGTTCACGGAAACTGGTGGTCTTGTTTTTAAAATGTGGCTCCAGAATCGCAAGCAAAGCTGAAACTGTTCCACTGACATTCTGAGGTAAATTTTAAAAATCGCTCAGTATAAATTCGCAACTCCTTGATAACGAGGTGCTTCCTCTCTGCGCAATTTCAGGATTGGATGGACGCAATGTTTTCTCTTTCTTCTCTTTTCAATTAGAGAGAGGACAACAAAATCATCACTGCTTGACGAATCCATTTTGTATTTTTGCGTTTTTCCCCGCAAAGGTTTAATAAATACGCATCGGACTCAGTGTGCAAGGTTTCTGTGCGTGGCGAATTTTTAGGCTGACGAACACGAAAATTTCGTACTCAGTATGCAATGGCCGCTTTCCACTGAAATAACTGAATCGCATCATACGTGGAAGCCTGTTGCCACTTCGGAGTAAAAATTAAAGCAAGCAGTTGTTTGTGAGATGAAGTTAGAAATAAGAAATAAAGTCACAGTGTGAAAAAAAAACACATTTTCCCAAGTTTGCTGCTTGAACCACTTAAAGTTAACGCCTGGCTGTCTTCAGATATTGTATAACAGACCTCCGACCTAGACAGTAAAGTATTTCTAGTCTACCTGTATAACAAGGTTAAAATCAGACTTTGGTTTCTCATAAACCTTTAAATCCCACCTGAAGCCTTTCACTTCCGCTCTACTCACCCAGAGGCATGCCGATGCCATAGCCCTTGGTGTCCAACAGGCCTCCTATCTGTGTGAGGTTGCAGTTGAGGCGTCGGTAGTACTCGTTCATAGTGCTCTCCAGAAGAAAGGCGTATTTGGAGTTTAAAACCCGTGCTATGCCCTCCTCCGTGCTCTTCACGAACACACTAGGCTGCTTGGAGTACATGTAATTCCACATGCGCTGGTACGTCTGATAGCGCGAGTTCTGAGAGCGGGTTTGTCATCACAGATGAAAGTCATTGGGAAAGACAGAGAGAGAAAAGAGAGGTGAAACAGACTTACTATTGAAAGGCGGAGAAAAATCAAAGACAAATTATATTTGCGGTGACATGAGGACAGGTGAATGAATAAAGAGACATTTTATTGGCAGACATTGAAAGTGAACTCGATTAAGGCAACATATTGAAGGAAAGTGAAAATGTAAGGGAAAGAAAGATGGATAATACATTATTAATGTAATAGGGGAAGTGAACTTGGCCTCCAGTGTGAATATAAATGTGGCACCGAGTCACTAAGCCAACTGTTTGCTGCCATAAACAGGACATGATGCATTTTAAACCACATGCACAAACTAGTCGATTAGCTCTACTGCTATTTAAATCATTGGATCCATTTTGATTGATTTCATCTCCACTTGTTTTGTTTTTTTCATCCAGTATTTTAAACGATTTACACAAGGTAAACACTGACACGCACACTAGTCGACTACTTTTATGAGCATCAAGCCATGTTAGCAATACCGGATCATTGAATCATATTAGAATGATTTCTGAAGGATCGTGTGACTATGAAGATTGGAGTAATAACGCTGAACATTCAGCTTTGCGATCCCAGACTTCTTTCAAAAACATTAAAACACTTTGCAGACCCAAAACTTTTGAATAGTACTGTATAAATATTGTCAGTATTATTCAAAATTATATATTAATTCATAATTTCACTGTAGATGCAAAAGGTGGAATTTTGTGAATGAAGGGCATTTCAATTTGTGGAAATCTGAAGCTTTCTGCGTTACTGAAGTTCTGTTAGCACAGATTACGTGTGGGCCTGTATGTGTCACTAGTCCAGTTACCACCATAAACAGGAAGTGATGCATTGTGGCATCACATGTGCACACATGGAAGCCCAGTGAAACAAATCACACACTCAAATTTCACACAAACACATGTTTGCACAAACAAAGACCTACTACGTACCATGAAGAAGGTCATAGTACTTCCTCCTTGAATAGTCCCGTACTGGATGTTCGTCTGATCTGCCAAGTCATCAGCAGATTCGATTGGCACCTCCATTCTCTGGACCGTCAGAAAAGCTGCAAGGTTTGCCGTGTAGGAGGAAATGATGATCAGCGTGAATGCCCACCTGTCCCGTACACACAGAAACACAGCGTCTTTTGTCAACAGAAATATAAATGCACGTATATTAGAGACAGATGTTTAGATTAGACACCGGTGTTTGCAGATATGTTTACATAAAAACATCACTCAATGAAATATTGAAAGACACCCACAGCTGCAATGTCAACCAGATGAACCTGGTTTGATCAAATGCAAAACAGAAAGCTAAAAAAAAAAAAGATCAATGAATTGTGTTTGCAAACTCAGATTCAAAAAAAGAGCTTTCGTGAGACCGGTGAAGCATCTAAAACTTTTCTAAAGAGACCGGCCTCTGAAAATGCACAAACAGGCAGATTAGTAACTTGTTATTTAGTAAAAGCTCTTTATCAAAAATTAAACTGCACCAATTGCAGACACGCGTCCCCAAGAGCATTGCAGAGTTTAGCGTTGTGCTGAGGGACACAGTGGAGATAGACGGGAGCTCACTGGATTCTGGGTCACCCCTGTGTGGGATTAAAGTTGCATCTATTGTGTTTATTCGCACCACAGATGATTAAACATTTGGCTTCCACTGCATGCACAGATCAAATCATTTCAACGCCGTTGTTAGTTTTTCTGAAAGTGGTTGTTCAGCTTAAAATGACCTCAACAGCAAAGCGCAAGACTGAAATTGAAGAGATGGAACACAAGACAGCTTGACTTGATATAGCAAAATGAACAGAGGTGGGAGACTAATCTGGAAATACACTACACTACAAAAGAGCGAAGCGCACAATACATGTCTGCACACAAAACAAACATCCCCATACAAACTTCAATACACTTTACGCTTTCAATAAAAGAAAAGACACACTCTTAATGGTCTCTTCACACAAAGTACAGATTTTCAGCCAATGTTAAATTGAAAAAACGCATCCCCATGTGTGAAAATCTACCCAACAGAAAATGTTTACACCAAGTGGGTCAATTTTTTCTTGTTTACTTGGCCAGAAAAAAAAAAAAAAAAAAAAAACAACAAAAAAACAAGACTTACCAACAAATTTGATATGAGTGATTATTCAGCTAGCATTTCTACACATGAAATCTTAAAAATGCTTTCAACTATTTAATTTTATGTTTAAACATGCCCTGGAATAAAAGGATGATCTTGGTGTTGATTAACCTTCAAGTAGATTTTGGTAATATTATGATAGTGTTGCTCACACCACCAAGTTAGGCAGCAGTCAATGAAAAAATGAAAATTTATTTAAATTAAATAATTATTTTACATTTAAATATGAATAGATATTTAAATAAAAAGACCTGTTTTATCTGTCCCTCTTCCCACTTCTCAAAAACATTTGGTGCAATGCTATTGGTGACACTGACTCTTCGTTATTAAAAAAAAAACACAAAGTAATGGACTGGAAATATGTTTTAGGTTCATTATAATTATGCAGTATAATTAACTCTTTTTATGCATTTATTATAAAGGGGGAGTTATAAAGTCTAGGTTGGGACAAAAGCATAAAATAGAGAAATTCTGGAAGATTAACCATTTAACAATCCTATTAAAACACTAGAAAAAGTAATTAAAGAGAAACAATCCAAAGTTTAAAGCTATTATAATCTATCTAGGATTGCATTAACAAAATCTTTAAAATCCTCATTGGGTACAGAAAAATATACATAGTTTTAAAGGGGTGATGAACTGAGAAATCAAATTTTCCTTGAGCTTTTGACATCTAAGAGGTCATCATATTATAAGAATATCCTGTAAGTTTCAGAACTGAAAACGTCCTTGTTAGTCCAATAAAAGCTTTTATTGACACCAGGCTCAGCAAACGACTCGTTTTTCAAAGTGGGGAACTATGACGTCAAAGAGGATAAAACACCACCCCCGCAGAAGAAGATCAACGCCTACTTCAACACGGCCGGTTTAGTCCCGCGCATTACACGCATAGCTAAATAACATAGATGCCTACCTCGTGATGACAAACCGGATCGAGCCACCGAGCAATACAGAATATTGTGCAGCGCCTGGTTGTTGAAGAAGACAGTCGCTGCATAAGCTTCCCCTGGATTCCAATAGGACTGCATGGATAAACTTTATTTTTAATGACGTTCCACTCGAGCTGATGAGGGTAAAACATCGTCGTCTGTTCGCTTCATTTCACTGAGGATTGTTTTGTAAACAAGACTGGATTTGCAGACCGATTAAGAGTAAAGAACGTTGCTGTGCCGTCTATATTGGCTCTCACAGGAATTGTTCAACACACGGACTCTGGGTCGAACATGTATGGGCGAATCATTCCGGTTGCCATTTTACAACTTTGGATGTTTTCAAAACAACTTCCCCCAAGTGCATCGACGAGTGAGTTGAAACTCATTATAATATGCAAAACTGTTATCCACTCACAGCAGTGGGCGTTTACTTCCAAGTCTTCAGTGCGAGACGCCCATAAAAACCAAGCGTTTTTCAGCTAGGCTCAGAACTAGGGTAGAAAATAGCCTATTAATTGTTCATTTTGATGTTTTTGAATGCAAAAACCAAGCGAACGTCATAAGTTAACCTCAGACAACAATATAATACATTTTAAAAAGCCAGTTCATGACCCCTTTAATACTTTTAGATCTTAAACATATTTATTTCAGGTACTTCACAAGGCAACATTTCTCATTTTAGTTATTTTAAGTTTAGGTTTTTCATTTAATATTTATAGTTCATTTCATTTACCAAATACAGTTAAAGGATTAGTTCACTTTTGAAAAAACTTTTGCTGACAATTTACTCACCCCCATGTCATCCAAGATGTCCATGTCTTTCTTTCCTCAGTCGAAAAGAAATTTAGGTTTTTGATGAAAACATTCCAGGATTTTTCTCCATATAATGGACTTCAATGGGAACCGGATGGTTCAAGGTCCAAAAGATAGTGTTAATAACAGTTTCAGATGCAGCTTCAAATGTCTTTAAACGACACCAGACGATGAATAAGGGTCTTATCATGCGAAACGATCGGTTATTTTAAAACTTATTCCAAAAATGTAACTTTTCTAAGGACAAATGCTAGCCTTGCTATATTCTCTGAGGCGCATTTGTAACGTCACGTAATGCGTAATTACGTTCAAAAGGTCACGGGCGACGTAGCCGGAAGTACAGAATCAAAATCGTCCGACATCGTTGTTTTTCCTTTTAATTCCTTTTTTTGTAAACGGCGTTTGAGTTAGTTTGCACGTTCAACCTATGCGTTCAACTTGTAAACACTGACTCTGTACTTTCGGCTACGTCGCCCGTGACCTTTTGAACGTAATTACGTAATACGTGACGTTGCAAACGCGCCTCACAGAATAGAGCAAGGCTAGCATTTGTCCTTAGAAAAGTTACATTTTTGCAATAAGTTTTGAAATAACCGATCGTTTCGCATGATAAGACTGATATCGTTTAAAGACATTTGAAGCTGCATCTGAAACTGTTATTAACTGTCTTTTGGACCTTGAACCATCCTGTTCCCATTGAAGTCCATTATATGGAGAAAAATCCTGGAATGTTTTCATCAAAAACCTAAATTTCTTTTCGACTGAGGAAAGAAAGACATGGACATCTTGGATGACATGGGGGTGAGTAAATTATCAGCAAAAGTTTTTTCAAAAGTGAACTAATCCTTTAATAATATAGTGATAATTTTAGTGAAAAATAACAACACTGTACCGCAAGTAATGTGAGCGTTCAGGTCACAGATGTAATGCTCACAGATGCACATTCACACTTACTGCATGGTCTCTTACACCTCAAAGGAAGTGTGAATCATCTCCACTTACCAAACACCACTGACACAGCGTGTGGACAGGGCCCGGGGCATGATCTCTGAGCCCTGCTGCATGAAACCACCGATCGGAAACCACAGGCTGTTCCCTAGCGTGTACTGATTCTCCAGGAGGTCCTTGCGGTCCCGCCAACACGGGAAGGGGTTGTACCACTCATATGGACTCAGCCTGGTGGAAGGAGAGAAACAGACAAACAAACAAACCGGGAAAGACTACCGTTACCTCAAGAAGAATGCTGGACTGTGAATTTAATGATATTCACAATAGATCTGTGTGTTTTGAGTGGCAGTGTGGCACCTGGCAGCCAGGAAGAGTACACAGCTAACAGCCAGATAGGCTAAAAGCATAAAGAGCCAGACAGCTGGCGAAAACGGATCCAAGAAGGAGAAATAACCTGGCTTCCTGCCCTGTAGAAAGCACATAAACAATACAAACAATGCTTTCACCACTCCTACAGAATCTCAAAACAGCCGAAAGCTTTTTCTGATACAATTGCTGTTTGGTTTTGTTTGGTTTAGTTCACCTTTTCATATGCAGAGATTCGCTAAAAGTTTGTTATTGATGCAGACAAATCATTATACGCAATTTTTTACTTATGCATTATGCATCAGGCAGGTGCTTTCATCCGAAGCAACGCACAATGCATTAAAGATGTGTATTTGATCAATTCATGTCTTCGAAAGCAACTGACCGCCTTAGACTTTTGCACCATGCTTTGATGTTTTAGCTATACGAATCCAAGATTGTTAAATGTGACATAATCCACCTATACAAAATCTAAGCGCTGCCTGAATAATATAACAACTAGGGGTGTAACGATACCCTCATGTCACGATTCGATACATATCACGATACGATATTATTGCGATATACTGAAAAAAGTACTGTTGATTTAAAATGCTAACTTTGATATTACATTCTAGGTTTAAATGAATAGGCTTCGACTTGGTGCTTGTAACCCAATATAGGACAATAGAGATACCAGAATAACAATTGAGTTATTGTAGAGTTATTGTAGATGCTTGGACGCTTTCACCGACTAGATATATTTCAAATAATGTCAGCCGCTTTTTACTGTTAACGTCAGACATTTGGCATTATCAGGACCCACAAATATTGCCCCATTGCATTAGTATACATTATAATCAACATTAGTTTAATGTAGTACTTGCATGAAAACTCTGAAAACATCTTTTTTTTTTTCCTCACACAGTAATTTTTACTCAGTAATCCACGATACGCATCAATGCATTTTTGTATTGCGATGTATTGTGGCACGATATATTGTTACACCCCTAATAACAACAATAATTAATAATAATAATGCATTATTATCATTATACATATTTTTGAAAGGTTTTGTGAGATTCACGCAAGAATATTACAGTCAATGATAGTAACACAATTTCTGATATATACAATCTCAATTCAGTGCATTATAAACGCATCTTACTATGTGGACGCGGTACAGGATACTGATTCCAAGGTTCATGAAAGGTTTGGAGAAATCTATGACCTTTTCCCTCTCTGATGTGATTGTAAATCCAGCCACTGCCAGATCTGCTTTCTGCAATAAATAGAGAAAGAGAGAGAATTAGATCGATGCAACAAAATTACAATCAAGAGGTATGAGTCACTCATGATTTCCAAAAACAGGGAGTTTATTGAGACAATGAACAGCAAATACAGTGTAGATGATCTCAAACAGACAAGTTCAGTCACTGCTGAAATTTTTGAAGACCTAATGCACAAAAAAGACCTTGAATCGTCTTCTGGTATAGCTACAAGGTTTCTATAACATACTGTAACTTGTAGGAGCTTTACAGACAGACACTAACTACCATCCCCCTCAGTTGCGGTGATAATTCAGTGATGTTTCTAAGTGCTCATTAGCATACCGCTGTGTCAGTTGTACAGTGTTTGACTCGCACCAGGCACGCCATTTCGTTGCATGTTGTTTGTGCTCCACGCGTGGTTCCCTGCTAAACATTGACCTTGGTTTCAAGAAGCACTCGAGAAGAAAAGAGTTTGACATTATCTGAGGTTCACTGATAAAGACAAGAAGTGGCAGAGGAAATAAAAAAGGATATTTAGCACAAGGAGAATCAGCACAGAATTGAAAAAGGGAAAGTCAAGGCTGGACAGCCGGATGGATGAATGGACGGATAATAAAGGGATGTAAGTGCACTGGGTTGATGGAAGAATTTGATATGAGAGTCCTTGGGTAAAAGGAAAGAGATTTATTTATTACAGGGATGGAGAGAGATAGAAAAACAGGGCTAAAGGGTGGAAAACAGAAAAAAGAGAGGGGGAGAAATAGAGTGACGGTCCTTGAGAGAAAAAACAGATACTTGTAGGGGAAGGGGTGATGAGGAATGGTTAAGAACAGAGAGTTGGTAAAGAGAAGGCTTCCAGCGAGGACACAGGGAATATTGTGCCCTTGTGAGATGAAGGGAACGAGGGATACGGAATGAAAAATGAGAAAGAGAATATAAAAGTACAAGAGTGAAAGTTCCTGAGGAAGGAAATGAGCGATAATGAATTAAAAACCTCGGTGTGGCTGTGGCATTATTTTGGCCTTTCTATTTTCCTTCCTCCTCGAGGGAGGAGGCGGTGACAGTGCAAGGGAGAAACTATTGTAACAGTAGTGACTACTAAACTTAACTACATTTTTCAGTAGTGCGACAGCTCAGCATATTATATATATACAATTAATATATATATATATATATATATATATATATAAACATGTTTTTCTAAGATTTTTTTATGTTTTTTTATGTTTTTTAAATTTTTCTAAAAAATTATGTTTAAAATTTATGTTTTAAAATGTATGTTTAAATATTTTTTATGTTTTTTAAATTTTTCTAAGATTTTTTATGTTTTTAAATGAAGTCGGGACAAATTTGATGGAGAAAAAAATGACAAACAGTAATATTGTGAAATATTATGACAATTTCAAATTACTGTTTTCTACAGTATATTTGAATATATTTTAAAATGTAATTTGAAAGCTGAATTTTCAACATCATTACTGTTGCTGATTACACACATCAGTTTTCAGTGTCACATGATCCTTCAGAAATCATTCTAATATGCTGATTTTATGCTCAAAAAGTGTAGGATCATGTGACACTGAAGACTGGAGTAATGATGCTGTAAATTCAGCTTTGATCACAGGAATAAATTACACTTCACTATATATTCACATAGAAAACTGCTGTTTTAAATTGTAATAATATTTCACAATATTACTGTTTTTTGTATATATATATATGATGTATGATGTATATATCAGTATGATGGGGGTGCAACCACAGAAACCGAAAATTCTCAGGCCAGCAGCATGTGTCCAAATTTGAATCTTAACCATTCCATTTCATTAGAAACAACCTTAAAACAGGGCTTTAAGTGTAAAATACCAAACTTGTCCTTTAAAGGCTGACATTTGCCTACAATTGATGTGAGCGTTGCGTCAAAAGTTAATGGAGCCCATTTGTGGCAAGCAGGGTGAGTGAAGTGATTAATGAGCGACGACAGTGAAGGATGAGAGAGGACTAGGCCTGGACTATTTATGTTACATTTTGTGTTTATTTATAAAAGTGTTAAATGTTCGCAGGTTCCCGCCTCCTCCTTATCAACATACCTCGTTACACCATTATAATTACTTATGCTGACTACACTGGATATAGTATTCAGATGCAAATTCAGTTTCTGACGTACTCCACGCACTTGAGTCTGTCGACAACAGGACAAATGGAAGAGTGAAAGAACGTATCTGTACGAATCCTAGCGTTGGATACAAGTGGATTTTATTTTGTAAATAAGGCCCCCTTGTAATGGAGAGTTTGCAAAGATGAAGCAGCAAATTGTATGTAATTGCATCCAAAACTGTGAGTAAATTATTTCATAATGCATTGTCTGTAAATTATGGTTTCATATAGTCGATGTTTTCAAAATGTGCAATAGCAAGTGGGCGTTGACACTTTTTCCTACAGTATGCAATGACGTTAGCCAATCATAACGGTGGCCTATTACTGACAAGCCTTAAAGGAGCTGCCCCTTAAAGGGATACTCCACTTTTTTTTGGAAATAGGCTCATTTTAGTTTTGAGTTTTACCGTTTTCGAATCCATTCAGACGATTTTCTGATATTTAGAAGACTATCAGTAACAAGACAGTTTCTGGTCTCATTGACTTCCATAGTAGGAAAAAATATATATTATGGTAGTCAATGAGACCAGAAACTGTCTGGTTACTGATATTCTTCTAAATATCAGAAAATCGCCTGAATAGATTTGAAAACGATAAAACTCAACTGTTTAACTGTGAGGGAGTTGTAAAATGAGCCTATTTCCAAAAAAAGTATCCCTTTAAAAACTGATCTTTTTTGACAAAGATATATGACTGATATATTTTTTGACAAATTATATATATATGAAGAGTTCAGATGCAAAAGCCTCTAAATGCCATTTGAAATTTTCTTCTTGAATGATGATTTTTATCAAACTTGTATATTTAAGTTCAGTAATTTCACTTAAATAACAATTAATAGGTAATCATGATTGCCTTTTAAGTGAAATCACTGAACTTAAATATACAAGCTTGATAAAAATCATAATTCTAGAAGAAAATTTCAAATGGCACTTAGAGGCTTTTCCATCTGAACTCTTCATATATATATATAGATGTTTGTGTGTGTGTTTGCAACAAAAACTTAATAAACATTATAAGTGAACCTCAAGGAACATATCAAAAATATTCATATTTTTTAAAAATCCATGTAATGCCCCTATAAAAAACATTGTTATTGACCAAAAAAAAGCTTTAATGTAATTAGCTACATTGTATTAAAAGATAATAGTCAACCTGAACGATTTAAAATCACGAGTAGTTTGTCAGGCAAAGTAATTTCCCTAACACTAGGGGTGATCAATAGCAGTTCATTCTTCTCAAAAAACCCAAGTGTACCCCAGATATCTCTCAATCTGCTTTAATTACTCCCTAATTGATTACTGAGAGATAGCTTTCTAAACCACATTCAAAGGGTGTCATCAAACGCTGGTGTCAAGGAAGAGCTATAGTGTGGGTCCATGGAGAGAAAGATGTGTGCGCACACAGTTTACATACACAATACGCCAACATGTGACTGGCTTCAGCAGCTGTAATGGTATAGTGTCACGGAATAATTCGACACTGATTAGTATGTGTGTGTGTGTGTGTGTGTGTGTGTGTGTTCAAAAGGACTTTGCTGAGACCTTCCCACACTGGGGTTAATAGAATGACATTACCGTTCTTATTACCGCCGCCATTATTTTTAGCATTAGTGTGAATAGTGCTAATATCTGTAATCGTTACTCTAATGGAAACATCAGTGGTCCAGTGTTGAAATCCTGCTCCATACAAACATGCAAGCATATAAAAGCTCTTACAAATTTTAACAAAAGCACATTTTCAAAGACAATGCTCTAGAAGATCTAAAATCAATTATCAGGTGAACAAAATTATTAAAAATGATTAAATGTTATATTGAACATGATGTTTTAATAATGTTCTGATGAATGAACAAACAATTACACTACTGTAAAAGCCCAATTGTTTCATTGAGGTTCAGTGAGACTAGAAAGCGTCTCTGAATTCACACAACGTATTCACAGAGCTTAATTATGAACGTGTGTGCAGGCATGCATACCCTGTTGATTAATTCCCCCACCATGCCAGTCCATGACCCATTTGGTTCCGGAGCTCCATACAGGCCGTCATCCACCAGCTTGATCCGGAACGAAAACTTCAGTATGTCTGCCAGCTCCCGTAACATATCCACACAGAATCCCTCATACTGATCATTACCATGAAGATTCTGGTAGTTTGCCTTGCGCATCACGTATGGATTCTCCTATAAAACAGGATGAAGGTAACATTTAACGCTGTAATATTCCACTCTAAATTTCCATACAGTGAAGCACCATAAACTCAATGAAAGTCAATAGCCTTACAGTGGAAGTGGCATTTTGATTGGTGCTTAGCCATGAAATGGCAGTAAAATCCAGTGAAACGGTGATTTCTTAGCCTTGACAAGTGAAAGTACTTTTTGGCTGCTGCTCCTAGGTTTGAATGTATTATGCATTTTGAATGTATTACATCAGTAAAATGTGGCCTGTGGATAGCAAACCTATTTTCTTATTTATGCAAGCACATGATGCAAATAAGATTATCAATAATGAAGGGATGACTTGTGGTTGTTTTGAATTTTAACTTTTTTTTTTTTTTTTTTTTACAGAACAAATACAAGCAGTAAGTTATTTTACAACAATTAGAGTCAGATACATTTTTATGTAATAAGAATTTGCTTAAACATGTTTGTTGCCTGGAAGCAAAATTGTACAAAATTGGAATGAATAATGATGCAAACAATGAAGGTGCTATCTAAAATATTGCAACTAGTATATACTTTTTATACACTATACTTTCATAATGGGACAGTGTACACTAGGGGTGTAACAAAATATCGTGCCACAATATATCACAATACAAAAATGCAACAATATGTATCGTGGATAGTTCCCCCAAAATAAAAATGACTGTGAGAAAAAGTTTTCAGAGTGTTAGTGTCAGTACTACATTAAAATACTATATATAATGTTGATTATAATGTATAATAATGCAATGGGGGAATATTTGTGGGGTCCTGATAATGCCAAATATCTTATGTTACCAGTAAAAAGTGGCCTATATTTATTTTAAATGTATCTAGTCAAGATCAAGCATATTTGTCTAAAATAATTATGTAATTTCAAATATTGTTATTCTAGTGTCTCTATTGTCCTTGGGTTACCAGCACCAAGTCCAAACCTATTCATTTAAACCCACAATGTAATACCAAAGTGAGAATTTTAATCAACAGTGCATTTTTTGTTAACCTTTTATCATATTTCTTAGTGTATCGCAATAATATCGTATCGTGATATTCAGAATCGTGATATGTATCGAATCGTGACATGAGGGTATCGTTACATTCAATGAAAAAAAAAATGTAGCAATGTTCTTTATGTTATCAATCTAAAATTGACTGAAACATGAAATTAGGCATTCTACACCAGAATCGAAGCTAGTGTAGAAATTGTTGCTAAAAACAATGCTTTTTAACATCATCTTGGGTGAAATCGTCCTATAGTGTGAGCTACAACAATGTGCACTGATGATTTTTCCACAGTAAGAGTGGGAAAGTGCATTTAGAAAATGAATTAAATCCATATTGATTAGATGTTGACTTTAAAATTACATTCATAATTGCATTCAACAGAGGAATGCAGTTTTGCTTAAACTGTTAGGCCAATTTCTGATGGCAAAAATGAGTCTAGTCTGAATCAATTTACGTTTTGTGATCGTCAAATTACTCTTCTTACAATTACAAACTCAATAAAACGACATTATTATACTGTATAAGCTCTGTGTAAGCAAGCAAGGCTTTTTCTCTACTTTGAATCTTACAAATATTTGTAGCGTCCATAATAATATTTAAGACGCATTGGTTTTGAAGAAGTGCTGTTTAAGCAGACTTGAATCTGCAATGCTTGTACCAGTGAGTGGCAAATCTGTAAAAGCCCAATTATCTCTTACATACTGTGGTCTTAAATGCTCAAAAGTCCTTTATTCACGTGCTGCCAAACCCACAAAGCCCTGAGCATCATAACTGGAGCCGTTCTTACCAGTATTGTGGTGACTGTGAGTGTCTTATTGGCTAACGTCACAGATGCGTTGATGTCCAAAGATGTGGAGTTCATAGCCAACGTGTTATTGGAGTACCAGACACCAATCTGCATATGTAAAGTAAAAAGGTTTTTAGAAGATTTTTTCAGGAAGGCTTTCAACACGTAATCATTTGTTTTGTTTTTAGTGGTTGTCTTAGTTATTTTGTTAACTGCTTTGATTAGCTTTATCTTGCAATTTTTATATACTGTTGTCTTTTTATGTATTTTATGGAAAGCGCTTTGTGCACCTTTCTGGGTGTTGTAATGGCGCTATATAAATAAAGATTGAATGGAATTGAAGATGCTTTACTACAAATATTATGCTCAGTTAGAACTACTTGCATGAACAAATCTGTGTTAAATGAACTAAATAACGTAAAATCATTTGTGACCATTTTGAAAACATGTTTGATCTCGCAAGGGGGAAACAGGCAGGAATAAACAAGTTCAGTGAATAAGACGAGGGGATGAAGGAGAGATAAAAGTGCATGAAGCGAGGGATCAATACTATGATCAATAAGAGAGGAGTGAAGTGGTGATTACTCCAGCTACCACCCATTCATTAGACCTCACAACCTCTCTCGTGATTCCGGATAAAATCCCAAGCTAGTGTTCATGAGAGTGTGTTTGTTTGTGTGTGTGTGTGCATTACCTCTTTGTGACCCCCCCTGAATTTCTCAAGAATACGCAGCGTGTAATTGGTCCTCTGGCCTTTGCTGTTAAACTCCACGCGGCCTGTTAGGCCATCGTACTCTACCTAAAATGAAAAAGAGAGAGGGAAAATTTAAACCAAGGGTGGGTAACAAACAAGAATGACGAATAGCATTCATTCTGACCTACAATATTAAGGCACAGGCGGAGAAAGACATAGAGACAGCCAGAGGACAAGTGAGAGGAAAACTTTGAGATGATTAAGAAAGTTAAGGTGAAGTGTCATTTCTGCTCCACCAATTGCAATTGCAAAATAATGACTGTTTTCATCATTATTGGCAAGTGAAGTAAACACTCGGAGTTATGGAGACAAACCGATAACGGAGGACGAGAGGAGGTGTGGAGATGGTGCCAAATGGAGTGGTGTAATGATGGAGTGATGGGCAAACTGCAAAACAGATGGAGGGACACAATCAATGAAAGAACGCACTTGTGCCTAGACAACACAAACATAATCTAGGATCTCACAGTTTCTAATAGCTGCATTAAAATGATAAAATACAGACAGGTTGTAATAAACAATGGACATCTGGTGTTAAGGGCACAGTTATAATTGCTCTGAAACTAATGGCTGTTGTAAAATTACTATGGCTGAGTATAATCATAACAGAGGACGTAAAAGTCATACTGCGTTGGTCACCTGATGGCCGACGATGGAGGGGACAACCAGGAATATTGTCCCGGTCACTGTGACAAGGGCGGCACATTACTCAAGATAGGACTCAAGCTACTCGTGGGGACAAAAAATACATTTATTTGGAAATTGACATTTATTTCTGGCATAAATTAAATTACGTTTTAGTCCACGGGTCTGTGAATTGAGTCAAATAATGCCATTATTTAAAAAGATTTTTTATAATAAGTTTATTAGCATTTTGTCTCATCTAGCATTTTTTTTTTTTTATTTCGTTCAATTATTTATAACTATTTTATATATATACACTACCGGTCAAAAGTTTTAGATCGAAGTCTCTTCTGCTCACCAAGGTTGCAATTATTTGATAAAAAAATACAAAAAAACCCCCAGTAATATTGTGAAATATTATTACAATTTAAAACAGCGGTTTTCTATGTGAATATATAGTGAAGTGTAATTTATTCCTGTGATCAAAGCTGAATTTACAGCATCATTACTCCAGTCTTGAGTGTCACATGATCCTCCTGAAATTATTATAATATGATGCTCAAGAAACATTTATGATTATTATCCATGTTGAAAACAGTTTTTTTTTACATTTTTATTTCAGGATTTATTTCAGGAGAACAGAATTGATCTGAAATGGAAAGCTTTTGTAACATTAATCACTACCATTCAAAAGTTTGGGGTCAGTAAGTATTTATTTTTTTATTTTTGGGGGAAAGAAATTTGAAAATACTTTTATTCATCAAGGATGAGTTAAATTGATCAAAAGTTACAGTAAAGACATTTATAATGTTTTAAATAAATGCTGTTCTTTTGAACTTTCTATTCAAAAATGGTACGTGACTGTTTTCAACATTGATTTTTTTTTATCAGTGTTATAATTTATGACACTGAAACCTGATGTGTAATCAGCAACAGTAATGTTGTTGAAAATTCAGCTTTCAAATTACATTTTAAAATATATTAAAATAGAAAACAGTCATTTTAAATTGTCATAATATTTCAAAATATCACTGTTTGTCATTTTTTTCCATCAAATAAAGCAGCCTTGGTGAGCAGAAGAGACTTCATATAAAAGCATTTAAAATCTTACCGATCTAAAACTTTTGACCGGGGCGGTTGTGTATATATTTAGATTTTAACATTTAATTTGGTTCATTTACTGTTATTGCTGTTTTCTGCGTAGTTTCACAGTGCTACAACAGTGGTGAATGTTTCTTGATGGTGTTAAATGATGCACAACGATACTCAATGAACAATAATGCATTAGTCAAGGTTTAAATGTATTGCGGGGTAAATTGAAAAGCATCCATCACAAACTGTTTGTGTCTTGTATATAACGACGGCGCCAAGGGGAAAGATTACAAAGACGTTGTTCCATGGAATAACATGCACTGATGAATTGTGCACAACGTGACCAGAACATATGTTGAGAATGTATGCTCAATTTAAATTTCATGTTAGCCTATTAAAGCCAATAAGCAGTTGCATGCAGATTCCCATCAACATCAACCAGATTAAAACGGGCTTCCACAGCTCATCAGAGAAGACAGTAGCAACAGCCGTAAAGACTAATCACTAAAGTCATCAAATGCATCGGAAAATGGCTGCCAACGGGGTGACAAGTACCATGCGCAGGTAGTTCATGAGACTGGTGCCGTGCTGCCAGATGAGCGAGGAAGTGCAACTCAGAGGCTTCACTCCGATCTCCTGACTGCGGTTCAGCTCTCGCACTGCTCCGACCACCACATGAACTGCATCGAACATCAGCGCAGATGACAACTGTAGGTGGAGAGAGAACATGAATGAAACGAGAAGAGAGATATGCCGAAGCCAAGACAGAAAGATGGTGGAGAAAGAAGAAGGAAAAAGAGAATAAAGGAATGTAGAATTGAGAAAGACAGCAAATGAGGTCATTAGGGGGACGAGGAGACTTCACGTCTGTTAGGGGCCCCACAGCAACTGTCTTCCTCCTAAATTATGTTGTGTGGCGCACATCCTATATGGACACATTTGAAAAAACCTTCTGGCAGAAATAACATCTCATTACTCCATTGAGTTAGTATTACTACGGTTTACTTTTCTTTTTCCATTTTAAGCAACTCTCAGCAAAATATAATGCAGTGAAATGTCAATCAAGTTATTGAAATAAGCTCTTGGAATCTAAAAAGCATTTTTTAGATGCTAACACAACCTGACAGATGTGGTTTTAATTGTTTGATTTAAAATTTGTTAACGAAATAATAACATCTGACACTTAAAGTAAGAGGTAAGTCTGCACCCTTTACCGGGACAGGATGAATTGAATTGTCCCTGACACTGAGTAATTTGTGAGTTGTAATGTTTCTCATGTAGCCTATTAGCAATGGCAAGATTGTAAGCTCACCGCTGGACCAGGGTAGGGACTGAGGTCACAACCTTCCCTCCATGACAGGTTTAGACTTCTAATGAACTCCAGGTAAAACGGATGACTGCTGTTCAACATGGAGAAACCAACGATATTTGACTGATCATCTACCACGTCATCCAACCTCAACAAAGGGAAATCCTGAAAGAGAGAGATCGATAGAGAACTATTTACTTAAAAAGTACCGTGGGTATACACACTATTGTGGTTTTGGCGCTAAAAAACACTTTAATTACTTTAAATGCCATCTAGGAAAAACGCCAATTCTTGGTATTTAACTGAACATCGCTAAACATCGCTGCCGTTGCACTGACAGTAGAGTTACCATAGTATGTAGAGTACACACGCGATGGCATTTAATGCGCTTGCGCGTTCTTTTCCTCGTTATTGAAAACTGGCGCGATGTTCAACGGCACCGCGAAAGCAAGTATTTAACATTTAAACATGCAAAATACTAATTTTTTCCACACAGTATTTAGTATAAAGTGTTTTTTTCTATCTAACAGTTAAAAAGTACCGCAAGGCAGCCCAGTTTGGCCGCTGTACCGTGAGCAAAGGTGAGTCTGACAGAATTCACTCTAGCACCTTGTTGTTGGCAATAGCACTGCTTTAACGGTATAAATGTTTTAAATGGACAATTGTACAAAAATAACCCCCCCCCCCCCCAAAACTGGGTGTGTATATTATTTAAAAGTATTATTAATATAGTTTAGGTGCTGTAATAGTTATTCGTAAGAATATAATTTATTTTATATTTAGGCCTACTACTGACGTTCATGACTAGACAAACCTTACTGTGAAAATATAAGAACGATATTATTGAATATTAGCCATTTATGGCTTCAGAATATTAAAACTACAGCACATTAAATCTGGGTAAGTAGTTAGTTCATAAAAGTAAAATGTAAATGGATGTTTGATTTATTTATAATGCCATCATTCACTGCATTTTCCCAGGGTTTCGTTTTGATCTCGGCTTATAATGATGTAGTAGTGGGATCTCTACTATATAGTGGCCTATACAGAATTTCAATCCTATGAGATTGCAAACTTAAAGATAGGATTAATACATATTAAGTAAAATCAAACCACTTTATTTAACTGCAGTAATTTAAATACTGATGAACTCATTTAAAAGAAAATCTTAATGAAAGGACCATGAATGAAATCATTTTACAGTATAAAACTATATTACAATAGAGGCAACACAACATCACACATTTATCTTGATTTGGTAAATTTGTGCTTAACTCAAATGCAATATTTGAAGAGTTCAGATGCAAAAGCCTCTAAGTGCCATTTGAAATTTTCTTCTAAAATGATCATTTTTATCAAACTTGTATATTTAAGTTCAGTGATTTCACTTAAATGGCAATGAAGAATACCTATTAATTGTCATTTAAGTGAAATTACTGAACTTAAATATACAAGCTTGACAAAAATGGTCATTTTAGAAGAAAATTTCAAATGGCATTTAGAGGCTTTTGCATCTGAACTCTTCATTTACATATTATTCAGAAAATTTTCTTGGCCAGTTTTTTGCAAATAAATGCTGCTCCCTATGGGTTTGGTAAAACCCTCATCCATAAATAAATAGTAATTTACTGAAGGCAATATTCAACCCAGCTAGAATTCCTCTCGACATAATTGGTGCCCTTTGGGAACGTTCAAGGAAAACATTGGCTCAAATATCATGGCTTTCACCTTGTCTACCAAATCAATCAGCCTTTGTGCTTTCTTACCTACGGGCAAGTGGATAATCCCAAGAGGTACAGTATGTTTGTCAATGGCACAGTCAACAAATATGTTTTCTATAGCTGTGTAGATGCAGTGGGAAAGCTCTTGGTGGATCCATCAATTGATTTTAGATTATTTGTCACAAAACATTTGCTTTCTATATGGCAGCTGAAGGAGGATCTAACTCCGCCTATGAAGACACCCATTCAGTTTTTCATAAAAAGCTTCTTCTGCAAGACTCTAAAATCTCCTCAAGTCAGGTGCATTTCAAGTGAAGCCGTAAAATGTTCTTCTGTCATTGACTCCTTCAGCAGCATTACATTCCTTTTGAGGATGCTCTTCGTACAGTTTATAAATGAAGGTACGACAGTCGGGGTTGATAATGGCAAGTGTCTTTCATCTTTTGTTTGCTCTCAATTAGATTGCCGACAATGTGAATCTGACAAGATGATGACCTTATTCAAGACGCAGACTTAATTTTAGTCACTGAAAGCCATCATTCAGAATCAACAGCCATCAAATAGCATACAACTGCAATATTGCCTTGTGGTTGTATGTATTTGTGCCTGATCTTGGGGAAAAGCTTGCCAAAGTCAGATTAATAAAAGGCTAAGTTTAAACTTGAATGTTCAAATGAGCTGTTTTATAAAGAGAAGAAAAAGACTGAATTTAATTGAATTACACTTTATGTACATCAAAAAATATTTATAATGCCAATGACAACACTAAATTAAAAAAAAAAAAAAAAAATCACACTAAAATATAATTCAACTCATCTTCTTTCACACTCCTATTCATGTATATTTAGACCTTTTTCAGTTGGCATGCTCTTAGCAAAATTGCTGCCCTACTGCAGAGTGAGCTCTGGCTTCCTCCCAAATACGAAAATTAATAAAAATTCCATAAAAAATGCATGTTAAGAAATGTAATCTCTAAACGCTTTACATATTAAAAAAAATTGCCATTTAATAAGGCCATGTTTGGACAGTCTCAAATTTTATCTTCCACAATTCAATTTGCCTCTCAAGGTCAAATACTTTAGCCTTCCTTACTTTCCTTAGGCCTAGTACCAGACTAAAATGCATGTTTGAGCTGTCTTAACTGAAAGCAACTTGCACTGACATATCTTAACATATGTCAGTGCCATTGATTGGTCTCAAGATTCACATGAGGACGTTTTTTTTTCTAAGGCACGTTTATACAAGATACTAAAGCTACTCAGGCCTAATCCTGGCTTAATCTAAGCCCTGTCTGTGAAACCAGGCCTTTAACTTGTAACAGTGGTATTAAAATCCTAAGCTCACAACAGAAGCATATGCAACCTCAAAACAAGGACATAATCCACGTCATCCACGATGATAATGATAAACGGCATTGATGCGCTTTGAATCTGTGATGAGCTGGTCAATGGCCAGGCCTGCCATCGCTGTTAGTGAATGAAAGTGGGTTAAGGGGAGAAAGGGTAGTGTGTCATTGTTCAAAGTGAAAAAAGGGGGTTGTTTACCATTGTGGTGAGAATATACTTGTAGAAGGCTGATGTCATGCCTAATTCTGAGGCCTAGAGAAAGGGAGAAACAGCAAGAGATAATCATTCTACATTTGCACAGTTGAGTCATGTCAGGTTTTTATGTCTGTCTGTCTGTCTGAAAAATCCCATTTAAAAGTATTTCAAAAAATGTAAAACAAAGATAAAAATGATGATATAAGATAGTAAATAAATATATATACTGTATATTATACTGTAAATATGAAATAACATTTTTCAATGCAACTCATCAAATTGTGTTTAAAAAAGTACCGGGAAAAAGTCAAATATTCTTAAATTAATTCATAGGAAAAAGTAAAATGCAGTCATTTGCATTAGTGGCCTCTGATTTATGGATCCCCTAAATAAGCACACATACCTTCTTTAATATTAGTATAGACACTGATGCATTAGCATCAATGATAATAGTCGCAACTTTGTCATCACGGATTTCCTTGAGCAGGGGGGTGGGGTCCAAGTTTTCATCGAGCATTCTGACTGAGAGTGTTTCCCGGGATATGAGGAAGTGACGCACAAGCTCCTCCAATCGCAGCAGGCCTGAGGGAAGAGCATAAAACCCCAAAAATAGGCATTTTATGGAAACATTCTCAATATTCACAATATAAAACAATACATATATTTGTGAAAAATAAGTAAAGCTCTCACAAATCTTAAAATTCTTAGTATATCAGAATGGCCGTTCATACAGTAAATGTTACGTCGACACATTAAAATAAATGTCATGTAACCATCTAAAACCTTTTAACAACTTTCATAAACTGTCAGTTGCAGTAAACTTCACCTTACTTTCCACCCTACTTTTCCATATTAAAGTCAGTGACTATCGAATTGAGTGACTTTGAGAGCCAATAAAGTTAATTCTGTATGTACATAAATTTGTGCTCTAAGCCACCACAAAATCTATATGGTGAATTCATCGATTTTGGACTGCAGTCAACAAGATGCACAGCTAACGATAACAGCAGGGTGAAGTGATGAAAGAGTGCTTTCTCACAAAAACAAACAGAAATTACCCCACCTCTCTGTGGTGGTATCCATGCTCTCTCAAACATCCACATAAGTAGAAACCAATGTGTAGATGAGCACATCCATGCATGCTAATGTGCACAGAGAACTCAAACACAACTGCCTGCATCTTAAACAGACAAACACTTGAACAGGAGCACAGGCTGCAGTAATTATATGGATAAGCGCAGATATGCAAACAGCAGTAAACAGTGGTGCATTAAACTGTAGCACCATTACCCAGACCATACCAATCAAGTGAGAGCTGCTCGCATCAGCAAGTTACGAGAGATCAACTTGCTGTCAGCATCGTAACAGCTCACATGCGTTTCACTCTAGTGCACCAACTACTACTCATTAAGCTTAGTCAACAAAGTAACAAATACAATTAAGATTGCTTCTTGTTTGTCTGCATGATTACACAATTCTCAATGCGATATATCCTTCACATCAGAGTCAATGTGGACGAAAAACATTGGTGCAGTATTTTTTTATGTATCGTATCGGTGAAGATCATCTAAGCCAGGTGTGCTTTTTTAATTGAGAGAAAAAAGTGAAGTGCCTCCAATTGTGCCTATATTAACAGTTAAATGTATTAAATAAGGTAAAATTTGGTACAACTGGGCTAAAGGCACACCCTAAGACAAATTTGTAGTCAATAACTTTTTCCCTTAAAACTCTTCTTTGATCACCATTTTTTTTTTATTCATGTATTAAACTAGTTTCGTGCATTCACGTCTAGGGGTAGGGTGTCCCGATTCTTGTTGCGATAGAGGGGTATGGGCTACATAACCCTCAAAACTGAGATTTTTCAGAGGCATACTCTGAACAGAGGGCTACGAGAAAGTTCCCAGAATCCATCGCGAATCACCAGCTTCGCAAATTTAGCCCCAGATGACACCACCATGCACTTTATTTACATTATAATGATAATATAATCATTTAAATTAAGAAGGAACGCTATAATTATCATGTTTCCCTAGGGTGGCAGTCATTGTCGTTGTCATGGAGAAATCCTGTAAAGACTCGTCGTTTCCATAACGTCAAAGCCATCGTCTACGACTGATGACGTATCGGGTTCATGAAGTTTTTTTAAAAACTGTTGCTTTAATTACTTTGAGCAAAACTGAAAATCATTAACAAGTCCTTTGTCTCAAAATATAGACATGAATTTTTGTCAATTCTCATTGGCTACATAAATCTACAACATTTTAAAAAAAACGTAAACGTTAGATCAAATTAGCGCAGAATCAGCTTTGTGTTGCTGTCGGCGATCTCGTCAGGGATCAGCCAAATTTCCATGTGCATCATCAAAAATGCGGTTGTTTAGAAAAGTGCTGAGGTGAATTTCTTTGCCATCTGGTTTAAAAGAGAATAAAGTGAAATGCTCCGTTTACCCCCGTGCTCCTTTAGCCGCATTGTACCGTACAGTTTTATAATGTTACTTTGGCCTTAATGCTCCTTTTTAGGGAAAGTGGGATATAGAACGAGTTCTATTGTTAATGTTAAAATGTTAAATCCAGATTTGAACTTGCACTAGTGTATGAACAAATGCATGTGTGCTAACTGCTAGGCCACAGCGACCTACATTTTAACTGAATATGATGTCATTATCATCATCATGCAGAAAAAAAAAAAATCCATCCAAATCCAAAGGTTTAATCGTTTCAAAATAAGTAATTTTCTGAAGCAGTGGCATCGTCGTTAATAACTTAATATAATAGGCACCAAGCCTAAGGATAATGCACTTATGTTAAAAATAAAATGAATTGCATTGTGAATCGGACACTGTGAAATGAATGGGAAAATGTCATGTGAACAATGAACAATTCAGCTTGATCTACAGTATGACAGCTCAATGAAAGAATGGTCCGTTTAAAGTTGATAGTGCCAACACTTTCCCTGCAGACTCACACTCTGCTTTGGCACAGATCAGACTGGCCGTTGGGTAACTGAAAGAGTGCAGAATGGCACCGATCGCCAAGCTTAAGTCCTCGTTGCTAGGATACAGCGTCACTGAGGCAAAGCGCAAATATGGCAAGCGTGGAGTCTCCTCTGGACCGATCTTGATGTGAGGGATCTGGGAGGAACAGACAAAATAAAGAGGACAATTTAGAAGAATAGATTGTGTGATTGACGCACGTGGGTTTTTCATTGGCTGACAGTGTTGTGCAAGTTACTTCCAAACTGTAATACATTAGGTATTACTTGTTACTGTTATTTAAAAGTAATTCATTACCTTACAATATTACTGTCCCAGAATTGTAATGCGTTACATTACTCATGTATTACTTTTGAGTTACTTTCACCAAAATAACTAAGTAGAACTTAACTTTTGGGCTGTAACGATATGCAATATGAAACCGAAATCACGATTTGCCACACGACTCAGATCCACGAACAGAATCGCGACACACCTCTTCCAACTCCAGCGTTATTCTCCTTACCGTCCAGATCCAATGCTGCCTTATCTTTAAATTAGGCTATTAGTATTATTTGAAGTTAACATTATAAAATACGCAGACCTACACCACAAAACTAGTTGAGGATAAATTATTTAAAATTGGTGAAGTCCAGCATTATCGACATGACATTTGCAGTCAAAACTTGAAATAAAAATTCTCAGAAAATACATGTATTGAAACGTATATAGGGTACTTCCTTAAAGGACTCCAGACATTAGACAAATATCAGTCTGTTTTATTTTTAATATTAGGGAAAACACACACATTCATGCTAACAAAAAAATAGGAGGCAAAATATATTTTTTTGTAATTCTGTTAATTACACTGCGCAAATCGGATGAGGAAGGGTTGGCTCTCCAGTCTCCATAGAACTTAAAATATTCATTTTATTTTAGTTTTTGTGTTCGCATTTATGAGGAAAAAACAATGTTACAGACACGACCGCTCTGAACTGGCACTAAAAGACTGCTTTAAAACTTTCACATAGTCTGTTGCCTTTAAGAAGTAAAAGCAGACAATACACTGTAATACAACTGTAATACAAGCCTCACTGAACATGTAACGAGTAAAATATTACTGAAAATTGATTAGTAATGCCTTACACTACTGCGTTACAGCAAAAAGTAATATGTTACTGTAATGTATTACTTTTGTAATGCGTTACTCCCAACACTGTTGGCTGATGCCAATATCTAAAGCAGCGGGTTTCAATCTTGCTCCTGGGTACCCACAGCACTGCACAGCCACTTTTTTATGTCTCCCTTATTTATCACACCTGATTCAAATCAGTAGCTCGTTAGAAAGGAGCTCCATGAGGTAAAGGTGTATTCATGCCTTGTTGTTGGAATTACCGTAATTATGAGATTCCCACTTGTAAAAAAAAGTGTTCACGTCCTCGTAGAACTTATAATTACAACTTTTCTGAGTGCTCAGACTAGTATCATGTGACCTTTTTAACCACCTGACCGTTGCAGATTTACTCTGCCGTTGGTAGTGTTGCTATTGAAACACATAATTCTGAGGATGAGTAGCTCAGAGTAGAAAGTTACAGGTTTTTAATTACGGTAATTACGACATGCCATGAATGCAGAAAACTGAGCATGTTAGATAAGAGAGAGATAAAATGTGCAGAATTTTTTATTCATCAAAGAAATTAAGATTAATAATAACACATGAATCTTGCGCATGAATAAGCATATTAAAATGATTTCTAAAGGTAGTAATTCCTGCTGAAAATTCTACTTTAATATATAAAAATAGAAATATTAATATAATAAAATAGATTTTATTTTAAGATCAGATTAATGCAGCTTTGTTGAGCAAGAGACAGGTTTCAAATTTTTTTAAAGAAATAGAGCCCGACCGATAAAGGATTTTGAAGGCTGATACCGATACAAATATTTTTTTTGGTTTTAAAATCCAATATTCCGATATATCGGCCGATATTTAAAAATTTTTTTTTTTTCAGAAATGCGCAACAAAACATTTACAGATTTCTCTAACATTAGTTATTTGTAGTTATTTAAGAGTTTTAACTAAAATAAAATGATAATGCATTTTAAAAAGAAACATGTTTCTTTAATTGTCACAACAGAACATACTGATGATCAGTGTTGGGAGTAACGCATTACAAAAGTAATACATTACAGTAACATATTACTTTTTGCTGTAACGCAGTAGTGTAAGGCATTACTAATCAATTTTCAGTAATATTTTACTCGTTACATGTTCAGTGAGGCTTGTATTACAGTTGTATTACAGTGTATTGTCTGCTTTTACTTCTTAAAGGCAACAGACTATGTGAAAGTTTTAAAGCAGTCTTTTAGTGCCAGTTCAGAGCGGTCGTGTCTGTAACATTGTTTTTTCCTCATAAATGCGAACACAAAAACTAAAATAAAATGAATATTTTAAGTTCTATGGAGACTGGAGAGCCAACCCTTCCTCATCCGATTTGCGCAGTGTAATTAACAGAATTACAAAAAAATATATTTTGCCTCCTATTTTTTTGTTAGCATGAATGTGTGTGTTTTCCCTAATATTAAAAATAAAACAGACTGATATTTGTCTAATGTCTGGAGTCCTTTAAGGAAGTACCCTATATACGTTTCAATACATGTATTTTCTGAGAATTTTTATTTCAAGTTTTGACTGCAAATGTCATGTCCATAATGCTGGACTTCACCAATTTTAAATAATTTATCCTCAACTAGTTTTGTGGTGTAGGTCTGCGTATTTTATAATGTTAACTTCAAATAATACTAATAGCCTAATTTAAAGATAAGGCAGCAGTGGATCTGGACGGTAAGGAGAATAACGCTGGAGTTGGAAGAGGTGTGTCGCGATTCTGTTCGTGGATCTGAGTCGTGTGGCAAATCGTGATTTCGGTTTCATATTGCATATCGTTATAGCCCAAAAGTTAAGTTCTACTTAGTTATTTTGGTGAAAGTAACTCAAAAGTAATACATGAGTAATGTAACGCATTACAATTCTGGGACAGTAATATTGTAAGGTAATGAATTACTTTTAAATAACAGTAACAAGTAATACCTAATGTATTACAGTTTGGAAGTAACTTGCACAACACTGCTGATGATAGTGGCATTAGCTAGCTTTATGGTTAGCTAGTCTATGATGAGCCATAGTTTAGCAATGGATAACGTCATACTGCAAATTGTAAAACATGCATTTTCAATGTATCAGGCCAAGGAGAGATGATACGTCTCATTGCTATAACTGTCACACGGTATTAAAGAAATACTTCAGTCACATTGTCAAAAGTTAAAAGGACAGTCAGTCAACTACACTGTAACAACGTAACGTAACTATTACTAGTTAATTCCGCTTCACTCTTGGCTTATTTAACAGCGCAACATGACATCATGACTTTTGCGTAAACATATACGCCACTTTCGAGTCAGGTGGCGTGTTATCTCTACGCATTTTGAGCTATCCGCGTGCATCCGCGTGTATGCGTATATGTCTACGCCATTAACGTCCGCGTCATTCCGCGTGTCTGTACACGCAGTCAAATCTCCAGGCATAAATGCCATTAACCCCAGTGACGGTTATGTTTAGGGATGGGGTTGAGGTAAGCCATATATTTATATAACGTTAAGTCAACGGCGTTCATAAACACGCTGAAAGGCGATTATGCGTCTTGATAGCACGCCAAAAATGGAAATACGAATTGCCGTGTCATACACGCGCTACTTCATGAGATCAGTCTGAACAGCAGCAAAACTGGACATGGTGTCATGGACAAATTTTGTCATGGTTATTTGAGTTAAGAGAACTGATGAGGATGTTCTTTTAATTGTTATTCAAGCAATGTATGTATCCAACTCAACGAGTGTTGCAAACAGGAATGGTGTAGAGTGCCCTCTGGTGGACAAACTATACAACTCCAACTCTCATGACATGGTTCAAGCGTGTTCCGTCCGTTTTTATTTTATTTTTGAAATATTCATTTATCGGCCATTATAACTGCCGATACCGATAGTTTGGAAAATGCCTAATATCGGCCGATAATATCGGCCTGCCGATATATCGTTCTGGCTCTAGAAATTACAGACCCCAAACTTTTGAATGATAATGGCGAGGTGTGTATATACTGTATACTACCAAAAATTTATATTTTCATATTGAAATATGTTTTTGAAAGTAATTATTTAATTATTTTTAAGTAAACAATTATAATGTTACAAATAATTATTTCTATGGCATTTCACTTGCAGCAATGAAAACATGGTTGTGCGCTATTCAGAATTGAACTGAGAATGCCTTCCAGTTCCAACATTTGAATTGAGCAGTCAGAATGTTGACGTGCAAAATTAACTTTATTTTTTAAACTTTCTTAAGCTTTGACTGTTTAAAAAGCCTTGGTGTTTATTGGCCTTACAGACAGAGCGATAGAACGACAGATAAACTATTGGATGATCGTCTCCTTTTTCTTTAAAGCGCTATCTAAAAAGCCAGCATTGTTTAATTTATTTTTTATTTAGTAATTTCCAGGTTTAAATTTATGTTGAAAATCTGGGAGTAAAAATGCAGACCTCACTGTGTATAAATATAATACAATTTAATGATAGTAAATTAGGTGTGCAAAAAAAAAAAATGACTGAAATGAAAAGCACGTTCATTTTACGTAGAATTAAATTGTTAATTGGCTGAGTGGGCACCAAAACGGCCAGATATCGGCCAATTAATCATCCTGGCTGATATATCATTCTCTCTAACCGTGAGGAAGGAAGAAAAGAGAGAAAAAATATGGGAAATTAGGTCAGGGGGAGAGATGCTTTTCAAGCAGCAAAGCAAAGGCACACAGGAAATAATGGCCTGTGGCTGAGGAGCAGTGTAAATTTATCATCTCAGGAAGTGCTCTCACAGACACATAGGCAAATGCACTTCCTTTCATTCTCACCTCTTTTTCCCCACATATATGACTGACAGTGGATCCAGAAGCAGGACTAGAGGCAGGACCAATGACAGACACCACTCCCTTTGGCAAGATCTGACACACTTGGAGGGGTAAAGATATATTATTAGAAAGAGACAGATAAATAGATCTACCATGAGAGAGCTAGAGAACAGGGTGATAGAGCAAGACAGTGACTGAATGAGAGAGGGACTGGATTGAGAGAGAGAGAGAGACAGACATTGCAGTGAGCAGAGAAAAGCCAACATCTTGGATGCCGTCCAGTTCTGTGTCCTGTTCCTAGATGATATATCAAATTAGGAGTCAATGTAAAGCTCTTTTTGATTAATTACATCAATAAGCACAACACAGATTTATGCTCTGCCTACAGAAGATTGCTGCTCTAATTCTACAGAAGAACGAGGAGGAGAGAGAGAGAGAGAGCACAGGGTGTATATTTAGATGAAAAGATTTTTTTTCTTGCTTGCTTTTGAACTGTTGCATTGAAATGTTCAGGGCACTGTGCATGTGTGACAAGGGTATGTAATTCATTTTGCGACAAATGAAAATCTTTTATCCTCCTGTTATATTCACATGTGGTGAGTGTGTGTTATCAGTCCATTTCAGTCCAGTGGTTAAAGTGAACCTCTTTTTTCTTTCCCTTTTTATTCTTGTGCACATTATTCTAATGGTGACATGTCTTTCATCAACTGTCTCCACTGAAAATAGTTAACCAGCGGTCAAATGACTTACAAAAATTACTACTTGATTAAAAACTGCTTGCCGTAAGTTAATTCAATTTTGGGTAACAATAATGGTTTAATTTAATATAATATAGTAAAACATAAAAAAAAGTAATCACTCAAACTTGACCTTTAACTTTCTATTAAAAAGCATCCTGTAAACTCCATTCTGTTATTATAATCCAATACATTTCTAATGAAGATTAAAAAAAGAAAACTAAACTACTGTTCTTGGTAATTCAGCTCTAAACCTTGCCAATAGTTAATTTAATACTGATAATAGAACTACACGATTAATCATCGCAATCTTATTCCCAAATGACAAATGATTCTGCCATGTCTATTAAATCTTTTACAAATGGTCACAGCGAATATTCAAACATATCATCGCTGACCCAGAGAGAGCAGTTGTGTATAGGTATAAAACAGCTTCACAAACAGTCTTTTCATCTTCACAGTATCAATATTTCTGTTACAAAAGTGGGAAAAGTACATTATGAAAAGTGGGAAAACCAAAAGTGCGATTCTCAATTTATCCAGAATTGTGCAGCTCTATCTGATAATATAATATAAATGTCAATCCATTTGAAAGAGATATAATCTCTGGTGACTTTCCATTCAAAACGCCCATTTTTCATAACCCAATCAAATTCTAATAAAAACATTCCCGACCCTATAATTTGTTCTTGTTGAATTTTCATTCAAGATGTTGAAGTTTCAGTCAAAATACATCACATTACAGAATTAAAATTGTGAATGAGGTTTCATGTCATTTAGTTAGACTCACTTGTGTCTGTAGTCTCGTATTGAGAGTCTCTCTGCAGCTCAAAGATGTCGACCTCAACGCGGGCTCGTGACGAACCCTCCATCTCACTGTTGATGTTCTCTCGGGCCAGAGCCAATGCCAACCGCTCGCCGCGTCCACATGCTGACTGATCATCCAAAATAGCAGCTGAAGAGCAACAAAAAAAACCCTCTGAATTTAATTGAGTTTTTGATGTTGAGGATTGAAGTTTCATTTGTTATTGCAAGAAGATGGAGTTACTCATCTAGATTGAACAGAAACAAGTTTGCAACGAATGTCGCATGTTGTGATGTTAATAGATTAGATTGTTCTATTGAGCGCATTTCATTTGGAGGCTTTCCAGAGATTAATTGATGCTTTATTGTTGGCAATAATCAAGATGAACATGCTGATGCTTGAAGCAATCAGTCACATGCTGTGAAGTAACAGCCTAGTATAAGCGACTTTGAAAAAAGCTCCTGTTTGAATCCGATAATATTGCTTAATTTCGCCTGAACTCTGCTCTAAAGTCAGTGGTTTAATCTAATGGTTTAATTTTAGTTTGTATATAAATCGACCAAAAAAACTAAACAACACTGCATATCTGATTATCGCTTCACACTCTCTCATCCATGTAACAGGTGTTTAGTTGAAAAAGATTATAAGCCTAGTAATAGGTCAGTACTTCAGAAGATGTATTTAAATATTAAATCAAAAACAAGCTTTGTAGTCACTTTAAATGTGGGCTTCACATTCACTCTCAGAGAAAAAGGTACAAAAGCTGTCACTGGGGCTGTACCTTTTCAAAAGTATCTAAAGGGTGCATATTGGTACCTAAAATGTACATAATAACACCTAAAATGTATACATAATAGCACCTGAAATGTACGTACTAGCACCTGAAATGTACATAACAGCACCTAAAATGTCCATATTAGCACCTAAAATGTCCATAATAGCACCTAAAATGTCCATAATAGCACCTTAAATGTCCATATTAGCACCTAAAATGTACATATTAGCTCCTAAATGTCCATATTAGCACCCAAAAAGTACATAATAGTACCTAAAATGTACATATTAGCACCTAAAATGTCCATAATAGCACCTAAAATGTCCTTATTAGCACCTAAAATGTACATATTAGCACCTAAATGTCCATATTAGCACCTAAAATATACATATTAGTACCTAAAATGGACAAAAGTGTTCCCTTTTGAAAAGGTACAGCCCTAGTGACGGCTTTTGTACCTTTTTTCCTGAGAGTGTTGATGCTTGCTGCCTCCTTTACAAGTAAAGCATTTGGGTTTTCTGGAGACAGTAACAGTGCAGCCGATTTTCTCATCCCAATTAAAAAAAGTTGTGTTTTTTCACAAAGACTCTGTAGATAAAGCTGGAAAAACGGAGGCAGAATTAGAACTCTTGATGGACTAGTAGCGAAGGCCAGCAGCACTATTACCCCTGACATGAAGTACTAACCTTTTCTCACACCATTTGTGCTACAGACATGGGTGATAACTCCAATTATGTGACTTTTTTTGAAGAGACTTCCTCAGCAATGTAATATTTTGCCTTGGTGTATGATAAAACAGGCCAGTGTTTTGACTTGGACCATAAGCAATCACCAACACCCTAGTACCCGGGAGATAATGTGAAGATGCACTTTTGTGTGTCGTCTAACAGGAAGTGGTCCATGGCGTCTCACCCATCCTGACAGCTGCGAGAGCGGGCGCCTGGCTGTGAGAGGACGGGGCCATGGTCAGCAGCAGCAACAGCAGGAGGAGGAAGAGGAGGTGAATCGACAGCAGCAGCGCTGGCAGAGCCGGCATCTTCCACTGCTCCTCATGGAGAAAGGTCGTCTGGCTGCCTGCACCGCCACCTAGAGGACAGGTACAAAAGTACACATAAGAACTTTGTTTTTGTAGTATGTATACTGTGCACAATACAGTATGTCCATTTCTTTGTATGCGTTAAATACTCGGATCACCTATATTATCCTAAATGTGGAGTGTACATTTTTTACACAAAAGTGGTAAAAAAAAAAACACAAGATAACTAGATGCTGGAAGTTTAATTTAACATGCAACATTTTGATATTATTCACTTTAAAAATGCAACACAATGAGGTCATGTGAAAACAATGATGCAAGGTAGCCTACTGTTTTTGAAAAGTTTGGCATCAAGTAATAGCATACTATTTTTTTTAAGTCCCTGTAAAGTCAAAATTAAGTATGCGTTCTGAGTTTGTCACACCACAGAAAAATGAGTTATTAGCCACTCAGCCAAATATGAATGATAAAAAAGCCGGCAAGTACATAAAATAAGCTATCAAAATCTTGCTCTCAAACGCTGGGGGCGTGTCTGCTGGCTGCGCTGAAACCACGCCCACTCGTGGGAAAGCTGTCGACGGTGTTATTAGCGGACACTGCTTTCGGGACGGGAGGATGAAGGCTGAGGCGGGAGATAGTCGGTTCGGCTCCGTTCACCAGTAACAGAGGATTATTAGTAAATCCTATTTGTGTCCGATGAAAGTTTTTAAAACGATCCCGTGTAAAATGATCACTACAGAAGCGGATGTTGGTGGTGATCCTCAGCTCTTCATCAAGGTGGCTCTCCACAAAATGAATCCACCTCTTCTTGATGTGATCGTTTTTAGGATATTTAAATAAAAACACCGATCTGTTTTGTACATGATCACATCCAGGTAGTAGCCCACGCGTTTCCGTGTCGAAGAGGTAGTTAGCTAGAAAACTGTAGGTTGTAGTAACTAATAGTACTGACAGTAACTCGCACCGAACTGATGCGAATGTGTTTTGTGCCCTGTTTTAGCCCCAAAAACCTGGAAAATGGCAATGGTGTAAAACTGTTTAACGGTCTAACTCCACAATTCAGTACTTCACAGTTCACAGACTTTGTAATATGTTGTAGCAATACATTTGTAATGCGTTTACAATTTTTTTGTAGAACTGCCTTTACAGGGACTTTAAAGAAATTAAAAATGCATTTCGTATAGAGTATATAATGCACAATGTGCAGTAAGCAGCATGCTATTATTCTATTCCAAACATAGCCCTAGATTCAGTTTAACTTCGCTGTTGTCCACACCACTCTGTCCATGTGTTACATCATCCACTTAAGCTATTAAAGGGTTCAGCATTGAACATTTTGGTTTGCAAGTAGCACAAACATGCCACTTTTAAACATGATATGCCTGTTTTTTCCCTAATGCTTTTCACTTACACACACACACACACACACAAGCACAGGCATATATTCCCATCCACACATTGAGAAAGAGGATACCCACACGCATAAGATGGCTTGTTTTGTCCCAGTGGTATAATATGAGCCAGACAAAAGATGCTTTGGCTATAATGTGAAAAAATATTAAGGACCATTGCAAAAGTGTATGTTGCTGTTTATCAGCACCTAAAAACATATCAATTGCAGTGACTTATTGAGGTCAAAATATTAAGGACTCTGATCCATTGTGTTTCTGCACTAGAAACATTGATTCACATAGTAATTATGGCATAGTATATAGTTGACTAAACAATAACATCAGCTTATGGGTGGTTTTCCAAAACTTTTCAGGGAATGAGGAGAGCTTATTGACCTTTCAAATTAAATGTGTTCATGTCACTATAGGGCTGAACAGGACTGATATAAGCCTGAATTATTGCCGCTATATCACATGAATAGCATAACATGTGATGGGTTAATTCACATATGCAACTTGCAGATATAGCAGTCCCAGAAGAGGTGAATGTGTGGAAAAAGGGGCATGTACACAAATGGAACAATAAATGAATTACCAGGGGAATCAAAAATGTACAAAAACAGACCATGACAGAAATTTGATTTCCTAGTCTGTCAAAATGACGTATAATGATTATTTGTAGTGCAACCTCTGGACGTGCCGCATGCGGCATTATAAAACAATTCACCACAAGAAAACCTACAACATAATACAGAGAAGCAGAGAGAATTGAATGCAGCCAGAAGAAACAGACTCAGAAATGGCTTTGGGAGACAAAGAAGAGAGCGAGAAAGATTGAACGCTTGACGAATGCAGCATAATAGAGCTGAAAAGACTCCGGTGTGTGTGTGTGTGTGTGTACATGGGCCGCACAAAACAGAGACACAAGTCAAGCTAAAGATCAAGAGCCTCATCCCTAAAGCCGCCGTCAATCCTGGACTGCCTGTGTTTGAGTTTGTCAACAGCTTGATTTGTATTGGCCTTCCCCAGCTCCGTGAAGTAAATGTTTATCTTTCCTGCCAATAAGGCCCTTTGAATGCATTCAAATTGAAGTCTGAATGGAACCAAAATGAAGTGAGCGAACCAAGAAGGGAGGAGAGGACAGAAGAAAGACAGCTGGGATGAGATGGCATGCGAGAGAAAGCAGAAATAGCGTGGAGGGAAAGATGAAAGTAAACCGAGAAAGATGGTGAGGGGAGAGAGTAGAAAAAGAAAGTATTAACACACACACAAGTAAACACCACATAAGGTGACAGCATGCTGAATGGGCAGAAATTCAAGCTTGGCTGTTTCAGTTATTTAACTGTTAGCTTTCCTGTACGCCAGCATTGAATTTAACAGTCAATGTAACCGCCCGCAGGCTTGTTTAATCAATGGACTTCTGCTTTCTCTCTCTAATAACAATATATAATGCGTTTAACACATCCTAAGACGGATGCATGAGCATTCACAACCTTACAGGTCTCTCTCAGTGGCCTGGGTTCCCGAAGTTGCTTTTCTTTTTTTAAATTATCACACTAGCTGTTGTGGCAGGACTTTAAACATAGTTTAAACATCCATTTAGAAGCACATTAAAAAGCACCGGTCAATCTTAACATTGAGCTAATTTTTTTGTACATTTGGAGTGCTGTCAGTACAGACAAAAATGACAAAAATCGGTGTTGCCTACACCGTGTTGTCGTCCTTTTAACATTCGCACCCTGTTGACTTCAATGGGGCATGTTCTCTTAACATCCTTGATTTGTTATTACAAGTGCACAGCCACGTGAGTGTGACCACGGTCAATCTGACTGCAGTAGATGTGAAAGATATGAATAAAAATTACGTTAATTCAGCCAGCTCACATACCTCTATTTGCTTCCTGTTTTCGGTCGAAGCCCACAGTAGTCGATTGTCGATCTCACGCATGCGATCATTAGTGAATATCATGTCAAACCTTCTCCGTGTGTCCTACATCTGATTCGGATGAACTATCCATTTGACCTGATATTCTCAGAACACCACATAGTGGTAGGTTTGTGAATGATTGCGCGTGTGAGATCGACAATTGGCTACTCAATAGCCCCTTTTCCACCAAAGCATTTTGAGAGCCGGTTCGGAGCCGGTGCCTGCACGCAGTTCTTTGTGTTTCGACAGCCAAAGAACCGGTTCGCAGCTGGGAAAACTGGTTCCAAAGCGGCACCAACTCTTTGCTGGACTAGAACCGTATTTTTAGCACGTCATGTTTACGTCGGGGGCTGGGCCGGGATTAGATGTGTTCTAAACATATTTTCTGACCATTGCAAAGCCAGGAGAAACTGCAGAAACACACAAGCGTTTTTATTTTTTATATTTTTTTAAACATAAGCAAAGAAGAAAACAGTCACGATATAGAACAAATAAATGGAAAGAAAAAAAGACACAAGACAGGGGTACATAACTTATCAGAAAAGATTACATATCAAACGAAAAGATTAAAAGACTTACATATTTCAATTGTTTTTAAAGTTTTCTTGGTACACGAGTTGCAAGCGTGCTTACTTGCAAGCGTTTCTAGCGACGTGCACAGTGACGTAACGACGTTGTGCCCTGGTCGCTCTAGTAAGTGGAAAAACAAACAGGTTCTGAACGGGTTCGCAAGTTGAACCAACTCCGAACCAACTTTGAACCAGCACCAACTCCGAACCAGTTCTTTTTTCGGTGGAAAAGGGGTAAATGTTAAAATTGACCGGAGTTCTCCTTTAACCCTAATTTCAACTATACAATGGCATTTAATTACATAATGGTGTGTGTGTGAAATACACCGCTATACTGTCATTCACCCTTCAACACTACAACATCCCATATTAACGAACCTGTAAAAACTCAGCCCGTTCACATGTCCATGGGAGTAGCAGCGTCTTAGATTGGTGGATCTCACTATAGCATTAAGACATGAGCTTCAATTCTGCCATTGAATACGCTCGCTATTAAAGCATGTATCATTTTTTTTATAACCATTAAATCTCCATGTCATTTGAATCCCATTTTTACTTCAGTAACCCATCTAGTACAGTGCACACATGCCTAGAAACCAAACCAATCCCGTTCTTAAATGGGTGTGTGACAAATGCTAAGCATCAGGCCAGTGATAAAGCATAATCTATTCCATACATCTACTATAATTGACCTTAAAGAAAGTCGTTTTAGTGCCGCCTCTAAATGCTTTTTTGAAAATTATGAAGAATGAAAGGCTCTGACCTTGCTGAGTTTTTGATCGAAAGCAAAGACAGCACTCAAGACTATGCTTTTAGGGCTTTTGCGAGTCTTAAGTACCAAGAGACTCAAACAAAATATAACTACAAACATTGTCAGGTATTGAAGAAGATCGTTTTTGACTAAACCACAGAAAATATTCCAGCCAGACACTGCTCCCATGCTGTCAAATCCAATATCCTAATTCTCACATCACACCGCAAACGCTGTCCTGCGGTTTCATTCGGATTTACTATGGAATAGCCACTCTGAGCCAACTGGCTATGATCCTTCTCCACAGGCTGTTAGAATAAGAAGAAGATTGGGGGAAAAAAGGTAAAACAGTGTTTCTAATATGCCTGTCACTGACTGTAATGCGTCTCTGTGTTTGGGACATTAGT